AATGCCCTTTTATATTATTCCTTAACTGTAGAAAAACATATCCTCTCCATTGTGGAAGAAAGAACTAGCTTGTAGCGCCACACATGGTCGGTGGTATACACCAGGTTATATACACCTCGTTACCATGGTTTCTGTGATGTATTCATATTCCAGTGGAATAGATGGATCTGATAGACTCCAGGATTATTTCTCACATTCCATGTGATGCTCGATGTATCATGTTTTGGCAGCCATTTTATTTGTAAACTTTTCACTGTCATGATATCTTTTTGAAATAAATATGGACACAGGAATGTAGTTTTGTTGCATGTTCTATGAATGTGGTCCTTGTGGCCGACAAGGGTGGTTATCTCATGACTACAGGGCTGAAAGAATCAGTCTGTTATCAAGGACTTGAAAAGGGGTCTGACTTATGATCAAAAGGATCTAACATGAGGCAAAACAGATGTGATATATGACAAAATGGATCTGACATGTGACAAACAGGTCTAAAAATTGACAAAACTTTTGAATTGACTTGCTGGATTTATGTGCAACAATACAAGTTTTAGCAGTATCACTTGGAATATACATTGAATACCACGAGCCAGGGGGAGTGTTTAAAACTTGCCGAGGAGCTAATAAAACCACATACAATGTATACCCCGAGTGATACTGCTACTGTGAATTTATCTTCCCGACATGTTTCAATCTGCCATTGTAAAAGAATTAAAACAAATTGAACATTGATAGAAAACAGTTGTTCGATTGAGCAGGGGTTAACTGGTGCTGTGTCACGTGACTTTCATTGACTCATAAACAACGTGCAGCTTTATGCTTCATAGTGGGGTGGGTATAAGGGATTTATTCTCCTGCTCATCCAAGTGCAACCTGTTTTTGTGGTGGCAGGGTATAAGGGATTTATTCTCCTGCTCATCCAAGTGCAATCTGTTTTTGTGGTGGCAGGGTATAAGGGATTTATTCTCCTGCTCATCCAAGTGCAACCTGTTTTTGTGGTGGCAGGGTATAAGGGATTTATTCTCCTGCTCATCCGTTTAGTGCAACCTGTTTTTGTAGTGGCAGGGTATAAGGGATTTATTCTCCCGCTTAGGAATTTATTTCCCTCCAAGGAGGGATACATAGTATTTTATCAATCAGTATTAGACCAATCAGATCTCAATATTCTGACATGGAGGTAAGATAATAAATATTATCCAGACTGACAGGGTTTCACCAAAGCCTGTTGTTGAGACTACCATATTCAACGTAATAGGCGCCCCGCTCTAATAAGCGCCCACGGCGATATTTGCTAATATATTGGCTAGTGAACAATCCCAATTAGCACCCCTTCCGATTGATCAATGTACACAAGACTTATTTATTCTTGTATAATATGTGTGTTATATGCATCCTTAATTATGGGAAATTAAATTCTGGAAAAATATATCTGTCGTATATAAACATTTCAGGCTGTTTGCATAAACCACGAAATTTACGATCTTTCAACTCTGTTGTTTTTCACCAAAATAATATTCTAATAAGAGCCCCCTATTTCTAATTTTGAGAGCACCCTGGGTGCTTATTATGTCGAATACGGTATTATGTATGTAAGGAAACATAGCATTGTATTGTTAATTAGTGGCAATATATGGAACTCCAGCCCTGCCACATCCAGTGATTGCGTTTTCCTAGCTGAATACAGTCAAGTCCCGTTAATCCGACATCGATGGTTGCATATGATTATGTCAGATTAACGAGTATGTCGGATAAAGTATCAACGTTCGTGATCTTAAATCGGACAACTACACGATAGATAAACAGTAGTTGACATAGAAGTCAATCTCTCCAAGTGCACAGTTTGTGAAATAATATTTGTGCCCTTATTGGTAAATGCTTTGCTGACTACTGTCCCAAATTGTTCATATTTGTACGAATTTGCTACTAAAATACTATAATATGTTTTCTTCTTTACTTCAAACGGATAGTATTCCAATATACAAAAATATTGAATATTCATATCCACCTATAAAGAGAGGGTCATTGTTCAGCCTCACACCATCTGCAACTGACTTGTCTTGTTTGTTGGTGGGTATGATGTCTATTCATAGCATTGCATCTGTCCAGTTAACATTGTCACTCATATTAGTGGGTGTTACTGTACTTTAAATAGAAATTAAGTGATACAATTATCAGCTGAGTTTCGGAATTACTAGGCTGTATCGTACTGTAGAATATTCATATCACAGGCTTTGGTTTCCTGACCTGCAGATTATTACAAAATACTACCGTATTCGACATAATAAGCGCCCAGGGCGCTCTCAAAATTAGAAATAGGGGGCTTGTATTAGAATAAAATTTTAAAGAGTTGAAAGATCGTAAATTTCGTGGGTTATGCTGACAGCCTGAAATGATACAAAAGAAAAGTCTGTGTGTATTATACACGACAGACATATTTTTCAAGAATTTAATTGCCCATATTACGCTTATTACGTTGGGAAAGTTGGCATCTGTGTAATGTAAAGTGTTAACGTTGTTACAGAACACATACATATACTATAGGCTTCATACTGTTTCTCTGGCTAGAGATAGCCCATCAAAACATTACTAGTTGCTGTGTTGACCAATTAGTGTGTATTGTAATATAGCTTGGTATTTCACAACAGTTCGTGATGTGTGTACAACGTCGGTGCACTCAGCTGGGATGTATTAGTAATCTAGTTGCCATGACAACTGTAATTGATAGCAAATTAGTGACGATGACAATACATAATTCCCAACATGCTGAGTACATGACATGCCTGTTGAGTGAACCTTTCTGACACAGTTGGATGTACATTATACAGCTCCTCACACTGCTAGATGTGTATACAGCTCCTTACACTGCTAGGTGTGTATACAACTCCTCACACTGCTAGATGTGTATACAGCTCCTCCCACTGCTAGATGTGTATACAGCTCCCCACACTGCTAGATGTGTATACAGCTCCTCACACTGCTAGATGTGTATACAGCTCCTCACACTGCTAGACGTGTATACAGTCTTCACACTGCTAGATGCGTATACAGCTCCTCACACTGCTAGATGTGTATACAGCTCCTTACACTGCTAGACGTGTATACAGCTCCTTACACTGCTAGATGCGTATACAGCTCCTGACACTGCTAGATGTGTATACAGCTCCTTACACTGCTAGACGTGTATACAGCTCCTCACACTGCTAGACGTGTATACAGCTCCTTACACTGCTAGATGTGTATACAACTCCTCACACTGCTAGACGTGTATACAGCTCTTCACACTGCTAGATGTGTATACAGCTCCTCACACTGCTTGACGTATATACAGCTCCTCACACTCCTAGATGTGTAAACAGCTCCTCACACTGCTCAATGTGTATACAGGTCTTCACACTACTAGATGTGTATACAGCTCCTCACACTGCTAGATGTGTAAACAGCTCCTCACACTGCTAGATGTGTATACAGCTCCTCACACTGCTAGATGTGTATACAGCTCTTCACACTACTAGATGTGTATACAGCTCCTCACACTACTAGATGTGTATACAGCTCCTCACACTACTAGATGTTTATACAGCTCCTCACACTGCTAGATGTGTAAACAGCTCCTCACACTGCTAGATGTGTATACAGCTCCTCACACTGCTAGATGTGTATACAGCTCCTCACACTGCTAGATGTGTATACAACTCCTCACACTGCTAGATGTGTATACAGCTCCTCACAATAGATGTGTATACAGCTCCTCACACTGCTAGACGTGTATACAACTCCTCACACTGCTAGATGTGTATACAGCTCCTCACACTGCTAGATGTGTATACAACTCCTCACACTGCTAGATGTGTATACAGCTCCTCACAATAGATGTGTATACAGCTCCTCACACTGCTAGACGTGTATACAACTCCTCACACTGCTAGATGTGTATACAGCTCCTCACACTGCTAGATGTGTATACAACTCCTCACACTGCTAGATGTGTATACAGCTCCTCACAATAGATGTGTATACAGCTCCTCACACTGCTAGACGTGTATACAACTCCTCACACTGCTAGATGTGTATACAGCTCCTCACACTGCCTTTCTGCACATGCCAGACACCAACCTTAAGGTTACACACAACCAAATGTTTTCCCATAGACTTCTATAGTAACGTTATATTTTTTTAAAAATAACTTAACATTCAACAGCTATTGCCTGTACGTGTGTGCACAGTTTGGCCTAAGAGCAGCAATAAAAACATAAAAAATGACAAGCTTAGCCAGCTCCTTTTCCGAGTATGTCACACTGACTGAATGTCACCTACTTGAAAATATCTGTGGTAAGTCAGCATAAGTCATCATGTTGAAAAAGACAGTACTAAATATAGAAAAACATGGTCAGTTTTAATAACTGGATGGATGTACATTTAAAAGACATTAAAGTCTTACACAATGTCCTCCAATCACAGCCTGCAGATATCTCTCGATCTGCACTGAAGGCTCCCTACAAAAACTGAACTGTCCCAACTGGTTCTGATTTGGTGTAGTAGAACCTGTAACCTACTGCAGCCAGTTCTGTCAACGACTGTTGATGGAGACTGATATTTTATGAGCACTTCCTCCACTTCATCAGTGTACTTGAGGCATACTGTATACACATGTTGAAATACTACACACACAATGAGGTGAGGTGAAATGGGGTTTAACGTCGCGTCCAAGATTATTGCACTTATATAGCGACGTGCATGTACGTGTGTGTGTTTGTGTGACTGCTTGTACTAGTCCGGACTGATGCCGATTTATAGTGCTAGCTCACTGAGATACCATGCCGCAGTTTAACATGAATACCCCACTAAGACACAGTATGCTGACTCCGAGCCGACCAGTCCTTGTTTTAGCCCCTAAACCACGGAGGCGGTCATATACACACAATGAACATATAAAGAGTTCTGCATTCTGAATCTTGTTGATTTTATCAGTTTCCCTTCATTTAATCCGTTCCTTCTTATTCCAGAAGCCGCCCTGCAGAACACCAAGGTGGTGTTTGTTGTGGGTGAGTTCACTTACTTATGCCCTTTATATCAAACATTTATATATCCCCCCTATGTCATGCATATGGGGGTGGTCGGGTAGCCTAGTGGTTAAAGTGTTCGCTTATCACGCAGAAAACCCAGGTTCGATTCCCGACATGGGTACAATGTGTGAAGCCCATTTCTTGTGTCCCCACCATTTCTGGTGATATTACTTGAATATTGCTAAAAGCGGCCTAAAACCATACTCACTCACTCATGCATGTGGATGATAGGGTGTCTGGACTGTCTTGTCCAGAATTGATAATTTACAAGCCACCTTCATTCAGCAAAGTCCCAGTGGAAGCTATAGTTCTCTGGACACATCTCCTCCCAGAATCTGCTGGTCATGGGTTTGAATCCCAGATTTGCCCTCATCATTGTTTTGTCAGTACAATGCTCATGGATAAAACCATGTTTGTTAACATCGACTTCCTGTTTCTTTGGGCCGACACGTTAAGCTGACGTACGCTGTCATATAACTGTTCCAAACTCATTATCTCCCCTTGTGTTGCCACCAGGTGGACCCGGCAGTGGTAAGGGTACACAATGTGCAAAGATCGTGGAGAAGTACGGCTTCACCCACCTTTCCAGTGGTGACCTCTTGAGGGCAGAGGTCGCATCAGGGTCAGATCGTGGCAAGAGGCTGAATGAAACGATGGAGAAGGGTGATTTGGTTTCACTGGTGAGTTCAAGACTTAATATCTATATATCAATATACACGAACAACACAGGAAAATAATCACTTTTGATGATATATATCATGACAATCTTTATTTGTATTCATTTGGTGGGGTGGTTGTTCAACACTGAATGAAATCAACAGTAGAACAGTAAAAAAATATGAGGAAAGTGTTCCTGATCTGTAATTTATTTATTCCAATGACAGTACATTATGTTGTCTTTTTCACATGACCCTGTTGTCTATGTCACATGACCCTGTTGTCTATGTCACATGACCAAGTTGTTTATGTCACATGACCCTGTTGTCTATGTCACATGACCCTGTTGTCTATGTCTCATGACCATGTTGTCTGTCACATGACCCTATTTTCTGCATGTCGGATGGCCGTGCTGTCTGTCACATGACCCTGTTGTTTGTGTGTCATATAAACCTGTTCTCTGTCAACAGGATGAGGTCCTGCTGCTGCTGAAGGAAGCCATGTTGGCCAAGGCTGCCTCTAGTAAAGGTTTCCTCATCGATGGCTACCCCCGGGAACTGGACCAGGGGAAGAGGTTCGAGAGCGAGGTACGTATCATCAAACTTCGTCAGTGTTCTCTTCTACAGCAAACCAGTCAGAATAGATCACCAATATCTCTTGATGATCCTGAGAGACAAGTAAAGAGGATTGGTTGGACACAATGACTGTGAATGGATAGTTTGGTTGAGTGAAGACAAAGCTTCAGATGCAGCCTGACTGGCTTCTTGCATCTTCCTGAGGCAAGAGAGTTGACTATATAAGTCCAGTTTCCTCCCTTGCTGAACTGGGCAGGAATTATGGAGTTATAGTTTGGCTGGACTAATGAGTCTATGCATAGTAAAATCAAAATCGCGTAACAAAACGGACATCTGGTTCGTAAACTGCCTTTCAGATTTCCGTTCATTGCAGGGTTTACAAATCATGTGTACTGCCAACTCGGCATCCACAGATATTTCCCAAATCTTTTCATGTTTTTAATGAAGGTGCTCACCTGATTTGATGAACTACGTGAAGTAACACTTGTTTTATCACAATATAGATCTTGACTATCGATCAGATCTTCTTGACTGGGCTGCCATTTTGTTTGAGGCAAATTCATGTGATATGAGAGGTGGAATCTGATTTGGTCAATAGGAGGGACATAGAAGGGACATAACTCGTAATAGCCACTGGTGACACTACAATCGAGCCCAGAAATTCCTGCCCATTTTGGCAAGGGTTAAACTGAACTTTTGTAGTCAGTTGACTCTCTTGCCTCGGGAAGATGAGCTTCTTGAGTCATTGTATCAAAACAAAACTTCTCAGTGTTCACGCCATCAACCCCTAGGTTGCCTCCTCCAGATCTTGTCATACTTGACATTATGTAATATTGTGATATTTTGAGCTCCATGATGATCTCCCTTGTTTGTCCTGTAGGTGGCGCCAGCAGAGTTTGTCCTATACTTTGAGGTGGCTGATGAAACGATGACTGCGAGACTCCTGGATCGGGCAAAGACAAGTGGGCGTGTGGACGACAATGAGGAGACGATCAAGAAGAGGCTGAAGACCTTCCACGATGTGACCACACCTGTTGTAGACTACTACCAGTCTCAGGGCAAAGTGAAAAAGGTGAGGGTGTGGATAGAGTTGCTGCTGTGAGAGATGAAGAGGGCAGTATGTTTTATCTTTACTAGAACCAATCTACATGGGATGAGATGAGTTCAGAGGCTGTCATATGATATTTACCTGTGTAAAAATGTGTATGTTTCCATATATGTCTGTGTGTGTCTGTTCTTATCATCACTAGTTGATAGTGATTCATAAATGCATGTACGATTGTATGCTTGTCTGTATGTGTGTCTATGTATGTGTGTCTATGGATGTATGTCTGTGTCCTGTGATGGTTTCTCTGTATGCAACTTCACATGTCTGTGAGTGTTTTTATGTGCACATATGTGTCTGTCTGTGCCTGAGGAATGTAGTCATCAGGTTACATCTGTCTGTGTCTCAGTTTGTGTCTGAGAAATGTATTCTAGATTACATCTGCCTGTCTGTGTCTGCGTCTGCATGTCTGTGTATGAGGAATGTAGTCATCAGGTTATGTCTGTGTGCAGGTTGCAGCCGAGGTTGGCCCTGATGTTGTCTTCAAGGAGGTGGAGAAGATATTTGATGCCTTCACAGGTGAGTGGTGAGAGGTAAAATATTTCTTCACCAAAATTGGCACATAAAGAGGTCTAGCGGTAAACTGGTGCATTTTGTTAGTTGGGATTTTAAAAAAATAAAATAAATTCAAGTTTCCCTGGCAACGACCCTGACTTAGACTGAAAATGGCGGTAGTGCTCATTTCCGGAGCAGATCTTGAAAACCGTACAATATTCTGTCATTGTTGAAAGAAAACAGTATCCAGGAACTTTAGCATGGGTCCTCACAATCCACAAGTCTCAAGGTAGCATCTATGAACAGATGATTGGGAACATGACAATTACACAAGGAAGTAAATTTAAAGCCCAGCCTCGTCAAGTGTATACTATGCTCAGTAGGGTCAAATTAAGGAAAGACCTTAAACTTGTAGGTTTTGCTGAACACAAAATTGTAGTATACAAAAAAACATTGGATGAGATGACAAGATTGCGGAATGAAAGACTGTTTACCTGGACACACCCTGTAGAGAACAGTCATGGCGATGGACTCAAGGTGGCTCACATGATTGTTCCATCCATCAGTGCTCATTTCGAAGATGTGAAGAAGGATAAGTTTGTTGGTGTGCTAGATGTTTTGTGTTTCACAGAAACACACATTAATGATTACAGTGAAAGAGACCTGCCAGGATATCAAGTCTATCCAGGAGACACTACACATGGTATTACTGTGTATGTTTCAACAAGTTACAAGAACAGTGTCCAGCTATGTGATGTAATGTCATCTCGCAGTATTGAATACATTTCCTTTGTTGTTGGCAAGTTTTGCATTGCTTGTGTGCATGTTCCTCCATAGACACGGTTGTCGCATTCACTTACTAAGTTCATGCAGAAACTTCAGGATCTCTCCAAGCAGCATGAATGTGAACATGTCCTAGTTACTGGGGATTTCAACTGTGATCTGAGTGAAAAACTGCAACTTGAAGATTTCTTTAATGTGTGGAAAATGACTCAACTCATTCATCCTCCCAACTCACTGTCTTGGTGACACTGGACTTGTTGTTTACCCATCATGCCAGTGCTGTAGCATTCCAGACTCCAGTCTACTACTCAGATCATCAGATGATTGGTGCTCTACTTCTCAGTACACCTCATGGTGACCCCTGCTCTCAATGATCTCTAAGTAAAGTAAGAACTCCCTTACTTCTCTGGTTATTGTTTAAGTAATAACACAACTCATTACAAATACAACAGTGTAACTGCATCTTAAACCTACTCAACTGTATAAACACTGCCTCCTTTCCTGTATATATTCTTGTCAACCATAGTCTGCACTTCACTTGCTTGATAACGGTGTTAGAACCTACACCGAAACGTCGCTCCTAATTGTAATAAAGAAGTTGTTCATCCATATGTCTCATCCTTACTCGTTACAAATACAGTTATGTATTCTATCATAAACTGCAGATGGCAAAACCCAACAGTAATAACGTTTTTAGTGCTGCTATTAGGCCATTTACAAAAAGGTCCAGTGAACATAGTTCACAGGAGCTAATGCATTGCACACAACCTTACATGTCATATTGACGGGGGATATGAGTATTTCATGCTTGTTATTTTTGAGAGCTCCCTGTGCGCTTATTATGTCGAATACGGTACATGTTGTACAGATACACTGATATCCTACATAACGTGAACCAGGGTCAACTGATAAGAGGAGACATTATCACCTTCAGTGTTACCATAAAGTCCTGAGGAATGTCAGGATATTGCATATTCTAGGACTTTGAGTTTGCGTCACTCGGCATCTTGCAACAACCATGGAACCTGTCCAACTAGATTGTCCATGATTAATTTTTGTTGATTTGTATCAGTTACAGCCTGTTTAGAGTTAATATATATCAGCTGTGGATGGCAGTTTATGTGGTGGGAGATAAATGACAGGTAACTGTTACACATAGGGTGCCGACAGAGCTAAAACAGGCATGAGATTACCGGCACATAAAGACATATTGACATAATAAATCGGTTGAAGCCGAGATAAGCGAATGTAGGTCAGCTGACTGAGTTAGACTGGATATTATGGGTGCGTATATCCCCCTGCAGATCTAGTATATCCTCCCTGCAGATCTAGTTTATCTTCCCTGCAGATCTAGTATATCCTCCCTGCAGATCTAGTTTATCCTCCCTGCAGCCATTAGACAATGGCAACTGTGTTTGCGGTATTGAAACTGGGATATATCACCTTGGTGTTTAACAGTTGTATCTCCTGAGGAAACGTGTTCAATGTAGTCGTTAACAGCTGTTCCTGTTTAGTGTTCATGACTGAATCGTTCATGAACGCTACAAGCATGATTTGTTCTGGGAGAGACTGTATTTATCCTGACTATTTCTCAATCTGTCCCCAGCACCTACAAGCGGCCCTGCACTGAAGGATGCAAACGTTGTGTTTATTGTCGGTGAGTTGAACTTTTTATCTTCTCATTTGTAGAATCCTTGTCTTATATTGAAGTTGGAACACATTTTGATTACAGGGAAGTTCCTTTGAAATATGCTGATATAAATAATGTCTTCTGAAAGTAGTTCAGATAGTTGTTATATTTATTTAAGGTAAGTTTGCTTTTGAGATAAGGAAGTTATCGCATCTGCGGTTGACCTTTCCCCCATGGCCTGATCTTTTTTCCACCTTGTTGAAAGCACTATTTTTAATCTGGTGTTTTGTTGGACAAATAAAACTATGTATTTCATGATGAACATACTCCTACTGATGGAATTCCTGTAGCTGTAACAAAAATAATATAAAAAAAAATAAATATGTCAGGGTCAAAGTTTCATCAGTGAGTGGGTTTGACATTGACATGGACACAATTTTTAGCATCCATGATTTCACTGGCTACACTAGGAGACTAAACTTGAACAAACTGAAACTGGATTATTTAAGATATGATGTCATCATAAATGGCATTAAAACCTGAATAACAACTTGGAAATTAGCATATTTGCACTCTAAACATTATCTAAGTTGAACTTTTACAAACCTTATTGTAGGCTCATCTGTAGGACACAGATGGCAGAGTTGCCTCCCTTAACCATGCCAGAATCTGATGATCACTGTTGCAAATCCCATATTTGCCCTCATTGTGTTTTGTGGTTTGTCATTACCATGCCCATGCTCTTGGCTAGGTAAGCATGTAGGACTTGCATCATTTTGGACATTCATTTCACACTAAACTGACTCCCCATTATTCAACTGAAATACTGCCCCAAAAAACATTATGACAATATCTCACTCACTCATCTGTGAAATAAAATGTGACCTAAGTGGTTCCACCTTTTCCAAAATTGTTGCAGCCTTACAAGGAAATTTCGTACAATTATGTTACTCTGAATTAAGTATTCAATAGTTATCTCCCCTTGTGTCCCCGCCACCAGGTGGCCCAGGCAGTGGGAAGGGAACACAAAGTGCCAAGATTGTGGAGAGATATGGGTTCACTCATCTGTCCAGCGGTGACCTCTTGAGAGCAGAGGTCGCATCAGGATCAGCACGGGGGAAGCACCTGACGGCCATCATGGAGAAAGGTGACCTTGTACCGCTGGACGAGGTCCTGCTGCTGCTGAAGGAAGCCATGGTGGCCAAGGCTGCCTCCAGTAAAGGTTTCCTCATCGACGGCTACCCCCGGGAACTGGACCAGGGGAAGAGGTTTGAGAGTGAGGTGAGGAAAATTGATTTGTTTGGGAAAGTTGTGTCAGCTGAGGAACTGGTTGATACCTGGTTGATACCTGGTTGTCCAATAAAATCTTGATCTTGCCCGTCTTGACTGGGCATCATCATTTTGTTTTGAAGCAAATGCAAGTGATAAAAGAGATGGAATTTGATTGGTCAATAGGAGGAACAGAGAAGGGGCATAACTCGTAATAGCCACTGGTGGCGCTACAATCGAGCTGGGAAAGTCAAGCCTAGTTCGGCAAGGGTGAAAACTGGACTTTTATAGTCAGTTAACTCCCTTGCCCCGGGGAGATGCACACTGGTAGAAAGTCCAGTGTTGTGACACATGTCCGATGGGGATGTTCGTACCACAGACCGGTAGAGGGGCTAGAGTTGTGACACTTGTCCGATGGGGATGTTCGTACCACAGACCGGTAGAGGGGCTAGAGTTGTGACACTTGTCTGATGGGGATGTTCGTACCACAGACAGGTAGAGGGGCTAGAGTTGCCAATTTTCAGTCATTGCAAAAAAATGTTTAAAGACTGATTTGTGACCTGCAAACACCAAGTTAATGACATGTTGCGTTAATTCAATTATCTATCATCTAAGGAGTACCCTAATTACACAGAGACTTTTCTTAGTATTATAACACATGCACTAATCATGTCTGGACCTAGACATCAGATGGAATCAGACCATGGTGGGTAGTCTCCCTTTAATCAGCTGTATGACTGCAGACACAGGTAGTCGATGCTATGTAAACTTTATATGATCACCAAGGACAGAAGGAGAAGGCTATATACATCAGGGTTAGAACTTAACACTGGCCCACTAGCCCGGGGTAGTACAAATTCCTGCAGGGTAGTACAAATGTCCAAGTTTCTCCATTGTTTTAACATTAAAAGGGCATTTTATCTTTACCTGGCTAGTAAAGCTTTTGAGCCGTGTTCTAATCCTGTTACCATACTATCTCCTTTGTTTTCCAGATTGCTGTGGCAAAGTTTGTGATGTATTTCAATGTCCCTGACGATGTGATGACGAAGCGTCTCCTAGAACGGGCCAAGACGAGCGGTCGAGTGGACGACAACGAGGAGACGATCAAGAAAAGGTTGCTGACGTTCCACAACATCACAACCCCTGTCATTGATTACTACAAGGAGCAGAACAAAGTCCGAGAGGTCTGGTAGACAGCCTTAATTTCGTTATCTTGAGCATTTTTCTTTTAATGTCATGAATGGGATTTTGTTATGTTATGCTTAAAATTTATAAATGTCATTATTTCAGAATTAGTGTCATTTTCAAAATTTATTTTAGAACAAGTTGTAGTGAAGTAATCTCGTGTACATGTGTACATAGTTTTAGAAAAACATGAAATATTTTTCTTTGTGCAACCAGTTGTATTGAAAGTTTTCTCATGTTTGTGAACAGTTGTAGTGAAAGTAGTTTCAAGTATTAAAGTGGACATAGTTGTATGGAAAGTAGTCTTATGTACCTGAAGATGATAACTATGTTTGTGTTTCAGATTGAGGCTGTTGGAACGGTGGATGAAATCTTCAGTAATGTGGAGAAAGCTTTTGATGCTGAATTTAAACCAAGTAAGTAGCTGTGTCAGGATCTGCTGGTTGTGGGTTAGAAGCCAAAATTTTACCTAATTATGATCGTTTACATGTCCGCACCACACCTGTTCTCGTGGGTTTTGTCAAAAGGGTACACCTCGATCATCAAGGTTTGAAATTAGTGTAAGTGTGCTTGTCTGAGAGTATGGTGGTAACATTAAGGAAGGACCATCTAAGTGACTCTTCCTTGTGGAGTACCACGCTTTCCATAAGGTAGATGTCAACTCTGTAGCCAGAGACCATATACTGGTATACGCTCTTTGCTGTAGCAGATCATTACACAATCAGGACTTGTGAAAACAGTAATTAATCACCTGCGTCAGTTTGGACTTTCCACGATCCTCCCATTCAAATGACACACAGTGATATAAATGAACAACAGTCCAAAACAGCCTGAACCATGACACAAGGTCATCATATTATGTTTCTTTTCCATTAGACTTTTTACTTTCGAAAAGGAACAAATGACTACATTCATATTCTTGAAAGAAATATTCAATGCCTTCATGAACTAGCCGGTACTTACATAAGTGTCATTGTCTTGCAGATACAGAGGGCCTGAAGGATGCCAAGGTGGTCTTTGTTGTCGGTAAGAAGGGAGCAGAGCAGTGCTTTGTTATTGTTGTCCTGTTGACATTGCACCTCTCAGTAACCTTGGTCCGATTAGGTCCCCAGTCCCTGATGCTTGTCTCCCTGTTGGGATTCCAGGGAAGAATACGTCCCCAGTACCCCATGCTTGTGTCTGTGGGGATTCCAGGGCAGAATAGGTCCTCAGTACCCCATGCTTGTCTCTCTGTGGGGATTCCAGGGCAGAATAGGACCTCAGTACCCCATGCTTGTCTCTTCTGTGGGGATTCCAGGGCAGAATAGGTCCTCAGTACCCCATGCTTGTCTCTCTGTGGGGATTCCAGGGCAGAATAGGACCTCAGTACCCCATGCTTGTCTCTCTGTGGGGATTCCAGGGCAGAATAGGTCCTCAGTACCCCATGCTTGTCTCTCTGTGGGGATTCCAGGGCAGAATAGGACCTCAGTACCCCATGCTTGTCTCTCTGTGGGGATTCCAAGGCAGAATAAGTCCTCAGTACCCCATGCTTGTCTCCCTAGAGGGATTCCAGGGCAAAAATAGGTCCTCAGTACCCCATGCTTGTCTCCTTGTAGGGATTCCTGGCAGAATAGGACCTCAGTACCCCATGCTTGTCTCTCTGTGGGGATTCTAAGGCAGAATAAGTCCTCAGTACCCCATGCTTGTCTCCCTAGAGGGATTCCAGGGCAGAATAGGACCTCAGTACCCCATGCTTGTCTCTCTGTGGGGATTCTAAAGCAGAATAAGTCCTCAGTACCCCATGCTTGTCTCCCTAGAGGGATTCCAGGGCAGAATAGGACCTCAGTACCCCATGCTTGTCTCTCTGTGGGGATTCTAAGGCAGAATAAGTCCTCAGTACCCCATGCTTTTCTCTCTGTAGGGATTCCAGGGCAGAATAGGTCCTCAGTACCCCATGCTTGTCTCCTTGTAGGGATTCCTGGCAGAATAGGACCTCAGTACCCCATGCTTGTCTCTCTGTGGGGATTCCAGGGCAGAATAGGACCTCAGTACCCCATGCTTGTCTCTCTGTGGGGATTCCAAGGCAGAATAAGTCCTCAGTACCCCATGCTTGTCTCCCTAGAGGGATTCCAGGGCAAAAATAGGTCCTCAGTACCCCATGCTTGTCTCCTTGTAGGGATTCCTGGCAGAATAGGACCTCAGTACCCCATGCTTGTCTCTCTGTGGGGATTCTAAGGCAGAATAAGTCCTCAGTACCCCATGCTTGTCTCCCTAGAGGGATTCCAGGGCAGAATAGGACCTCAGTACCCCATGCTTGTCTCTCTGTGGGGATTCTAAAGCAGAATAAGTCCTCAGTACCCCATGCTTGTCTCCCTAGAGGGATTCCAGGGCAGAATAGGACCTCAGTACCCCATGCTTGTCTCTCTGTGGGGATTCTAAGGCAGAATAAGTCCTCAGTACCCCATGCTTTTCTCTCTGTAGGGATTCCAGGGCAGAATAGGTCCTCAGTACCCCATGCTTGTCTCCTTGTAGGGATTCCTGGCAGAATAGGACCTCAGTACCCCATGCTTGTCTCTCTGTGGGGATTCCAGGGCAGAATAGGACCTCAGTACCCCATGCTTGTCTCTCTGTGGGGATTCCAGGGCAGAATAGGTCCTCAGTACCCCATGCTTGTCTCTCTGTGGGGATTCCAGGGCAGAATAGGACCTCAGTACCCCATGCTTGTCTTTCTGTGGGGATTCCAGGGCAGAATAGGTCCTCAGTACCCCATGCTTGTCTCTCTGTGGGGATTCTTAGGCAGAATAAGTCCTCAGTACCCCATGCTTGTCTCCCTAGAGGGATTCCAGGGCAGAATAGGACCTCAGTACCCTATGCTTGTCTTCTTGTAGGGATTCCAGGGCAGAATAGGACCTCAGTACCCCATGCTTGTCTTCTTGTAGGGATTCCAGGGCTGAATAGGTCCTTGATACCCCATGCTTGTCTCCCTGTAGGGATTCCAGGGCAGAATAGGTCCCCAATACTTATGCTTGTCAAACTGTAGGGATTCCAGGTCAGAGTAGGTTCCCAGTACCCCATGCTTGTCTCCCTGTTGGAATTAAAGGGCAGAATAGGTCCCCAGTACAGCTTGTCTCCTTGTAGGGATTTTTAAGCAGAATGGAATGGATAGTTTCTTTTGCCATAATGCGGTCATCTGCAAAGTCATGATCTAACATAGATTTAATAAAACTTGGCTGACTAATCCGAGTGCAGGATTCTATACTGTCATGGTAGAATGTACACTGACAAAATTACTGCTAATGAACCAACTTCCCTTCCATGAAACACCACGTTTTTCAAATTGTTGTTGTCACTCTATATAGCTGAAAAAATGACTATTATGTAAATTATTTACTCAGTCACTAACTGACACGCCCACTACATTCCTTCCTGTAGGTGGACCAGGCAGTGGGAAGGGAACACAGTGCAGCAAGATCGTCGAGAAGTACGGCTTCTGTCACCTATCATCAGGGGACCTCCTCCGGGCCGAGGTGGCCTCAGGGTCAGACCGTGGAAAGAAGCTGAATGAGATCATGGAGAAGGGAGACCTGGTGTCGCTGGTAGGTGGGGAACACCTGGTGTCACTGGTAGGGCTGTGTCTTGGCCAAAAAAATTATTGCAATATATTGCAAAACAGGTATCTGCAATGATGTCAAAGTCAGCTTGGTCTATCACCGCCATTTTGTAGTCATGGATACAGGGGAGATAACCATGTGAAAGAAGAATCACTGCCACGTTTCCACCATATGAGAATCATTTCACAGGGAAACATCATTTGTGAATGAATAGCTGTATAGATTTTAGGTTTAACGAGACAAATAATAATGAAACTTGTTATATACTTTTTACTCTATATACCTGAACACTGAAAACATATAGCAATAGGTATTGTTTGAAAAGTGCATACCGGTTATGCCATGCAGTCCTAGTCACTGGTAGGTGGGCGGACACCTGGAGACACTAGTAAGTGGTGCTAGGACCCACCTGAGCATGGGCATGACCTTCAGTCATTTTCATTGAGGATACACACTATTTTCAGGATGTGGTCCTTGACCTGCTGAAGGAAGCCATGGCTGCTAACCTCACCAAGTCCAAGTGTTTCCTCATCGACGGCTACCCTCGAGAGATGGAGCAAGGGAAGAGGTTCGAGAATGAGGTGAGAGGCGGTGGTCTATTTCATCTCATTGAATTTAAGTGTGAGTGAGTATGGTTGTACGCAGCTTTTGGGAATATTCCAGCAATATCACGGTGGGGGACACCAGAAATGGGCTTCACACAGGAATTTAAGATGTACAGATATGAGTAGTGCTTGTCACGTTATTGGTAGTGTTACTATTAATCTTACCTATTTTTATATTTTACAAAGTACCTTTAAGTGATAGTGGTTGTTTAGTTAGTTAGTTAGGTATGGATAGTGTTATCGTGCTATATATGGTGTTTATGGGTGTGTTGCTGATAATGTTTAAAATGGATAGTATAATACAGGTGTTACTAGTTGTGTTTCTGTTTCTGTCCTGGTTGTGTTCCAGTTGTGTTCCAGTTGTGTTACAGTTGCGTTACAGTTGTGTAACCATTAACTGGCAGTGTTATGGTTTGTTAGTATCCAACCCTTCTTATGTAGTAAATAAAAAATGTGACAATTCCTATAGGGGAGACAGAGGATATTTCCTATTTATTATATACTTATTGTGTACTTGTCTTCCAGACAATTTAATTATTTCATTACAAATGTAAAACCTGGAAACATAAATTCTCCCTAACACACAGCGACTTAAAAAGTTCTTTCGTGTTTGCAAAATCTTAAAAAGTATAAACAAAAGTATGTAAAGGTATTTAGGATCACAAAAATTCTTTATCATACATTTAAATATGATTATATACAAAATCAACTTCAACCAAAAATATTCTTGAAAACTACGAGACTGCTGTTGAAAGCAACAGAATACACGCAGGTCAAGTAACAAAAATGGTGCTTTGCGAAACGAACAGTTTCGATTGACGAGTTAAATGAGAAATTTACAGTTTATAACAAAACATTTACAAGAGAATAACATTTTGCAAGAAGTGATATTGACTCAATAAATAACCATCTGTCATTATTTTGGCTTGTCAATGTCATCTCCCCGAGGGAGTTAACTGATTATGAAAGTCCAGTTTCCACCCTTGCTGAACTGAGTGGAATTTCCAGGCTCGATCATAGCGGCACCAGTGGCTATTACGAGTTATGTCCCTTGTATGTTCCTCCTATTGACCAATCAGATTCCATCTCTCAAATCACTTGCATTTGCTTAAAAAAAAATGACGGTGCCCAGTCAAGACAATCTGCTTGATTATCAACGTCTATATCGTAGGAAAACGAGTTTAACCCCATGAAGTGCATCAAATCACGTGAGCACCTTGATTAAAAGCACAAAAGAATTTGCAAAATATCTGTCGACGCCAAGTTGGTGGTACATATGCTTTGCATATCCTTCAGTCGACTGAAATCTGCATGTTAGAATCCATGTTGTTTACGAACTGGATGTCTAGTTTGTTACGCAAATTTGATTGGACAATACATAGACTTGTTAGTGCAGCCAAAATGTAACTCCATAATTGCAGCCTGGGTGGAAACTGGACTTTTATAGTCAGTTAATGCCCTTGCCTCTGGAAGATGTGTCAATGTGGAACTAACGTAAAAAGCATGTGAACAGTTTGTGTAGGGGCTACACACTAACGATAAGGGAGACAATTTGAGGGGAGGTAACTCTTGTATGATAATAGTTAGGTCAAAGTGTTATGTTCACTGCGCTGAAATATCAAGTGTTATGTTCACTGCAATGAAAATATCACTTTTCTCAACTTCAGAAAACTCAGTCTTTCATACTGAAGTAAATAATTGCTTGGATCAATGCTCATGATATCAATCACTGGATTGTCAGGTCCAGAGCCGATTATTTACAGACTGCTGTCATATAGCTGGAATATTGCTGAGTGCAGCGTTAACCAACCAACCAACCAACCAACCAACCAACCATGTGCTTGTGTTTCCAGATTGTCAAATGTGCAAGCGTACTGTATTTTGATGCCTCTGACGAGTCCATGACGTCCCGATTATTGGAGAGAGGGAAGAGCAGTGGGCGTGTGGACGACAACGAGGAAACCATCAAGAAGCGTCTCAATACCTTCCACAACCAGACACAGCCAGTCATCGATTTCTACAAGGATCAAGATAAACTTGTTCAGGTAGGGGAGATAACTCCACACACCAGGTAATATGGTGTTGTGAGTACATATCTAACAGCGGGAGAATGACGGCAGTGAATTAACTACTGCTGATTTTTTAGTGAGGAAAAGATCACTTTGCAATAGGTTTGACTGAATAATAACTGTTAACTGGAACATATAATCCATACTTCCTCATAGCTGTTATTCTCCGTTTATATCTCACTGTATTCTCTATATATCTTACTGTCAACCATTGGTTTACCTGACACACATTTCATTATTTTCAGCTGCCATGATTGTTTTACTGCCAGTTTGTAGAGACTGGCATAAGTTGAAAACTTGGAAACAGGTTTTTCAAATAAATTTCAAATGTTTTCCGAAATGACCGTTGAAACTTCCATTTGTGTTTCAACTTTGCTGCTATATCTGATGCTATTGGTAGTACTTTTGACACATTTGCTCCTGATTCTGACAAGCTGATGCCGTTGGTAGTGCTTCCAACACTGTTGCTCCTGATTCCGACTAGCTGCTCTAGTTTCTGATGCCGTTGGTAGTGCTTCTGACACTGTGGCTCCTGATTCCGACTGGCTGCTAGTGTTTCTGATACCGATGGTAGTGCTTCTGACACTGTTGCTCCTGATTCCGACTAGCTGCTAGTGTTTCCGATGTCGTTGGTAGTGCTTCTGACACTGTTGCTCCTGATTCCGACTGTCTGCTAGTGTTTCTGATGACGCTGGTAGTGCTTCTGACACTGTGGCTCCTGAATCGGACTGGCTGCTAGTGTTTCTGATGCTGTTGGTAGTGCTTCTGACACTGTTGCTCCTGATTCCGACTGGCTGCTAGTGTTTCCGATGCTGTTGGTAGTGCTTCTGACACTGTGGCTCCTGATTCCGACTAGCTGCTAGTGTTTCCGATGCCGTTGGTAGTGCTTCTGACACTGTTGCTCCTGATTCCGACTGTCTGCTAGTGTTTCTGATGACGCTGGTAGTGCTTCTGACACTGTGGCTCCTGAATCGGACTGGCTGCTAGTGTTTCTGATGCTGTTGGTAGTGCTTCTGACACTGTTGCTCCTGATTCCGACTGGCTGCTAGTGTTTCCGATGCTGTTGGTAGTGCTTCTGACACTGTGGCTCCTGATTCCGACTGGCTGCTAGTGTTTCTGATACCGTTGGTAGTGCTTCTGACACTGTGGCTCCTGATTCCGACTAGCTGCTAGTGTTTCCGATGCCGTTGGTAGTGCTTCTGACACTGTGGCTCCTGAATCGGACTGGCCGCTAGTGTTTCTGATGCTGTTGGTAGTGCTTCTGACACTGTTGCTCCTGATTCCGACTGGCTGCTAGTGTTTCTGATGCCGTTGGTAGTGCTTCTGACACTGTTGCTCCTGATTAAGACTAGCTGCTAGTGTTTCTGATGCTGTTGGCAGTGCTTCTGACACTGTTGCTCCTGATTAAGACTAGCTGCTAGTGTTTCTGATGCTGTTGGTAGTGCTTCTGACACTGTTGCTCCTGATTCCGACTAGCTGCTAGTGTGTCCGATGCCGTTGGTAGTGCTTCTGACACTGTTGCTCCTGATTAAGACTAGCTGCTAGTGTTTCTGATACTGTTGGTAGTGCTTCTGACACTGTGGCTCCTGATTAAGACTAGCTGCTAGTGTTTCTGATGTCGTTGGTAGTTCTGACACTGTTGCTCCTGATTAAGACTAGCTGCTAGTGTTTCTGATGCCGATGGTAGTTCTGACACTGTTGCTCCTGCTTAAGACTAGCTGCTAGTGTTTCTGATGCCGTTGGTAGTTCTGACACTGTTGCTCCTGATTAAGACTAGCTGCTAGTGTTTCTGATGCCGATGGTAGTTCTGACACTGTTGCTCCTGCTTAAGACTAGCTGCTAGTGTTTCTGATGCCGTTGGTAGTTCTGACACTGCTGCTAATTTTCCCATTGCTGCTGCTTGTCTTTCTAATATTGTTGCTTGTATTTCTGCTGCTGATGTTAGTTTTTCTGACTTGTATACAACATTGATGCTAGTGGTTCTGATAGTGTTGCTGATGATTCTGGGTTTGCTACTGGACTTTGATAGTGATGCTGATGTTTCTAAGATCAGTACTAGTGTTTCCATCTTTCGTTTCATACATAGACATAGATTTGTAACAGCCAGTAACAGGGAATGTTGTCCTGATGTGACAATGTGTGTATTTCAGATCAAGGCGGAGAGTGGGCCGGATGAAGTCTTCGTGGAGGTGAAAAATTACATGGACAACCAGAAGTGGTGAGATCGCCAGCAGTTGTTCGTGTTGCGTCAAGTGACTGGTGCGCATGGAATCCTTCAGTGGAATCCTAGAGATCCTGCTATGGACATTAAACAGTGGGCAGCAATGTAACATAAATGTATTCAGTAATGAGACATTGTTCTGAAAGTGTAACTTTGTAAGAAAATAAAACAACGTAAGCAAGCGTACCAGGGTAATACTGTACAAGAATGTTACAGTGTGAGGAAATGTAACATTAATGTATCGTTGTAAAAGTCTATAACATAAGAAAATGTAGCAATGTAGCTGTTTTTTACAGTAATGGAACAATGTTCAGAAAATGTAAGTTTAACAGAGTAACATAAAACTTAACATTGTAAGAGAATGTAGCAATGTAAGAAAGTGTAACATTCATATAACATTGTAAGAAACCTACAAGGATATGTAACATTATGATGACAGTGTTGGTGCAGGGCTATATTTGGATGTATTCAGTCTACTGTCAGAGTCCAGTGCTTGAAGTAGGAAGTCATGATATTTTCAGCCAGTGATACCTGTATTCATAACTCAGAGAGCACAACATATTTTGTACATTTATACAATGTAAATATAATAAAACTCCCCAATCTCATTAAAATCAGATCTTTGTTTTCGCTACCGCTAACCAAAGATCTGAGGACATCCCATTACGGGTCACGTCAGAACGACCTTTCGCGAACATTGACCGACCAATGAAATGACTGACGAGAAATCGTCATTTGCCAATCAGAAGGCAGCTATCTCGAGCTTTACGGCACTAGTTTCAAACTGGCGTCTACACTTCGAAACATATTTTTAAAACTGACCAAAACAACATTCTGGAATGGCTTATTGATGGCCTAGATTGTATAGATATAATCATAAAACACGTAACTGTCGTTCAGTATAACCTCTGTTAAATATTTCGAGGTTGCATGACTAGAAAACACATTCCGACTGTCACTTTCAGGATCTGGTAAGCGATGCTCTGATTGGTTGGATGAAAGGTCGTGCTGACGTGATAAATGGGATGTCCTCAGATCTTTGTTTAGTGATAGCGAGAACTAAGATCTGATTTTAATGAGATTGAAAACTCCCAGAAAATGTGGAATGGGAAGAGATTATTTATTATTTGTCAAATTCATTGTTAATGAAAAGTCGAACACTGTGATCTTCTGTTTTAGATGTGTGATTTTGTATATTTTATGTTGGTTTTGTCAGTGTTGCAGAGTCAGCAAAACACATGACAGCCATCTTGTTTGTTCGAGGTCATCTTTAGATTTTGATCTCAATGTTTTGTGTGTGCATTGCATTGTGTCCAATAGCTTGTACTAACATGTCTAAAAGTAATTTCTGTGATAACCAATGGGTGAGTCGAATCCCAAAGTATTTATAGGGCTGATTCACCCTGTATTGATGTGATAGCATACTGTATGTCCTGATGCACTGACAGTACCGTGACCTGATGTATTTACAGGGACGTCTCACTCTGTATGGATATATAAGGGGTTATTGTATGAAGCATATCCCAAACTCAGCATCAGCATATGATAAGTGTGTGATGGATATAAATTTACCCAAGTGTACTGCGTAAATACCCTTCAAACGTACCCAATGTCGGATACAACTGAGCTCAAATCCATTTCATTTAGTTCCATGACCTTGGTCTTTCTAAGAGAAACCGTTTTGTCCATGACTATTTGATTTATTCATGACAAGAAATGATGTTTTATTGGCCTTTTCTCGAGACAGTCTGGGTTCTTCCCCCGTATGACTGCAGCACTGTCCATGGTGTAACACTGCATTCTTGTACATGGCGTACAACTGCAGCACCGTCCACGGTCTAACACTGCACTCTTGTACAATGTGTATCTCCGTATCCTCGTCTATGATTCTGTGCACATGTATATGTAACATTATTACTTACGATTATGAGATTGTTCATCACAAAAGAATCATAAAGACATTATAAAAAATTATTTGAGATACTTCATCTTTTCAGAAGCACAAAGAGGTTATCTACAAACATACAAGGAGTTTCATCAGTTTAAAAGTCCTTTAGGGATACAATGTTTAATATCAAAGCACATGTTGTAGGAGTATAGAGCATTTGCTTCACTGGAAATAAACTGATATACAGGTTTAATAAAAATTCGTCCCTTCACAGCATATAAAATGAGGCACAAAAGACCAGGGTTCCTTGTTGTAACTGAAATGCAAAAAGTTAAAGATCTAGGGGGTCCAGCTGGACCCACTTGCAAAAAACAAATCTTAGCACAACAACTATCTTAAGTCTATGTTAGGGTAAGAGAGTTACGATCATCGTAGTGCTAAGATGGCTTTGTGCAAGTGGGCCCAGATTCAGATACTACAGCAGCAAAAATCCCAAGGATCCCATCTGTTCCCTTATTTATTTCCAACATTATATTTTTTTGGTAACATTTAATAACATTTAGAGTCAGAGAATATTTTGTGCCGTCCTGTCACTCCAGCTGGCAGAGTGTTTAATACACGACTACTTCCTTGCCACATAGCTGTAGAACATCTATTTATGTTCCTTCGGGGTATGGTTACTTCTCAAACATGTGGACATATCTATACTAGTATTAAGTGATCCCAGAGGAACATGCGCTTGGATCTGGTACATTCATGCTGCGAGTGGGCTGTGGATTGCTTTGTTGTCATTCCCAAGTCTTTGTTTGTGAATGGCGGTGTCACTCACAGTGGATGTGGTGGTGATAGTCACAGTGGACGTGGTGACGGTGTTGATGTGTCTTGACACAATGCTGCGTTAATGACGGAGTTGACATCTTTTAACTCCCTGTCCACATTCCCTCTGTTGCAAAGACTCATCTGCCTTATAAAGGAATTTGTTCAAATAGCATGTTCCCATCTTCAGATAAAAAACTGTTTACTCAATTTAAAGTCTTTGTCTTATTTGTTGCAAGTTATTCTCCATGTTTTCTCCATGTTAGGGAGTGACTGAGAGGAGATGAACAGACTGTGGTTTGAATTAAGAGGTATGCTATCATTGATTTGATACCTTACATTCTAATCTGAAGGTGAACATGTGACTGTGAGAAGAATCAATCATAACATGCCTAATATTTTATACAACCAAACAACACCATTAGAACACTGACAGGTGGACATATGAAGGTGGTTAAAAGTCAGCCAGACTGACATTGACCTCACCTATTCTCTCTCATAAATTGAGCATGTACATTTTTCTGCAGTTTTTAGCCTTATTGCAACAATATTTGTCAAGGGACAAACTGTTTAACACCAGTCAGCAATATCCCAGCCATGTCATGGCAGCAAGTAACTAATTGAGAGTGGATTAAACAAAGCAGTCATTTATAATATAATGAGCAACATCCCACGCTTACGCATCCCAAGGTACACTGACACACAATCAACCAAGTCATCGAGCACTATCCCCAGGCCTAAAAAGATATGAAGCTCATTTGGAGATTAGCATCTAGCATCAACTACCAGGTTATGTAAGTTACATGAATAAAGTGAAACTCTGACATGGCTACAGGGTTGGTTAACCTTCTGAATAATATGTCACACTGGACAATGGATGTCACAAATTTGTCACGAAGACTCACTATATATCATAATTTTGTTTGTTACTGGCTTATAAACAACATTAATTACAAGATATATTTAGACAAAGTAAGGATACAAGGTGAATTTCAGATCTTAAAGAGTGCAAGTTTAATCTTGCACATGAATAAAACAAACACTCATTAGGAACGGGTAACTTATTTTAGGTACCGGTATTCGCTGGCTGGTGAGATTTAAGGGAGGTTGGGGATTGTGAAGAAAACAAGAGTTTGCCACTAATGTGGCTATATCCCCCACCCCTGTTGCAGAATTTATGACATAATTAAATCTAAACAAACCCTAACCTTTTTTAACCGAGGTGGAACTTGTCATGGAAATTGTAAAAAAAAAGAGAGTTTGGAACCTTGTTGTTCCATCTTGTTGCCAAGGAAACGTAAAAAATAAAAATTTCTAAAATTTCTGAATAGCAAAAGGCACCAGTTCAGCATGTACTTGACAGACCTGCAAAGTTTCATGAAAAAATATTGAACAGTTTCTGAGTTGTGCTCCGGAAACGAAACGTGACGGACGGACGTATGGACGGACGGAGCCCGTTTCTATATCCCCCGCCAACTTTGTGGGGCGGAGGATAAAAATGATGGCAGAAAAATAGCACAGTTTCATTTTGTAAATAATGTTTTTTATTTAATTGACATTATTTAGGGACTGATCATTTATTACAAGGAGGGGGTGTCATGAAAAAAATGTTTTATGTATTTTATGAGAGTTTATATTCTAGTGTAGATACATTGCAAACACTTTCAAACAGCCAATGTATTTTATTGACACCTTCACTCAACTCTGATGAACTCTGTGCCCAAACATCCAGCCAGTCATGGACTGAGAAACATCATAAGACAATAGATTCAAGAACACGTAAACATTAGATCTTTCCTCTTTATTACGTTCTGAAGTAAAATGCATACATTTGTACATTTGATAAAACAGGAATTTGTGCAATCATGTTGAGTCAATGACACCAGATGTACAATCAGTGTGATGACAGATCAGTCCGTGCCAGAACGTCTTATTCTTCACCTAATCTTGCTGCATCAACTTAAAGAGAATTTACTATTGACAGGATGAAATCTGCTACTACTGTGCTAGGACTAGATAGGGGTCACCGATGGCTAGTGACACAGACTGAATCAGATGGACGATGATATTTGCTTCTGTCCCATTATCGGCTAACGTCTTAATTCTATCACTTTGCTTACCATACCACATCGGCAAAGCCAAATTACATAAATGTGAAACAAAAGCAGAAGCTGAAAAACAGTAATAACCTCCACGTCTAGCAGCTAACAAAGGAAGTAATTACAGACATATAAGTAGATGGAAACGGGAATGGAAGAATGAAGTTATTTAATGAAACACTCCTTGTAGCATGTTGTGATTGTCTTTACCATTCCAACAATACCATTGAAAGTATTTACCCTGCAGCTGATTACAGACAATGTGTAGATAATTGAATGTTTTAACCAGATAAGTAAAACATTGTAAAGAGTGTCTGATTTGATAATACAGTTATGGCTCACATCAAGGTTATTAGTATGTAGCAAAGCATGTAGATCATCACACGTCACATCCCGGGCAGGATACAGTCACTGTGTAGGCACAGAATATTTAGCAACCACAGTGTTTACAATCCTCCTCCTCTCCTGCTCTGAGAATATGCATTTCCTGCTCAATCAAAACATTTCCCCGCAATGAGAGAAACAAGCTTCAGTAAGTCGTCTGAGAACATCCTGCGGCACAGTAAAGTCATGTGACTTGGTCATGTGACTTCTTGCCACAAACTGTGGTCATGTGATGCTCCATGTAGAACACGGGTCGTGTGATCATCACAGGAACCAGTAGCGGAAGAACAATAGGAACACAACTACAACTATGACTGCCACACCGATCTTGAAGTAGGAAGAACGCAAGTTCAAATATTTTGCATCTTTTTTGTATTTCTGCGACAAAGTTGATAAGTTGCTAGCTTTATCACCGAGAACTGAAAGCAAACAGATAAAATGACATCAGGAACATTATTTGACTTGAAGTTAATTACATAACCAAAAGACATAGATTTTCAATGAAACCAGTTTATCTGCCATGTGTAAGAGACACGGAACCTGCTTGTGACTGCTTTGACAGAAGCCATATGCACTTCCTTAAATGGGTTCTACTGAGAACTTGCTGACATGTCACTAACAATCTGACAATTCTTTTGTTCAAGTTGCTTGGAAAAATAATTATCTTATTGAATATGAAAGTAACAAAAATGACAGTCCTGACGATGATAATTATAATCAAATCAACTTGTCTGTATTGGTCTCTGATTATTCGCTTGACTGTTTTGTCTGGTCACATTAGATTCATTCCACAATAATTTCAAACCATATGTCAACTATTATCAGTAACACCCATCTACAAGCTTCCATCAGTAGTACCATCAGACGGTGTCATCACAGATAAAATTGTCCGTGAAGCTTTGTCATTTTAAACTTTGTAAGGCCAGATCAAATTTTTTTCTAAATTACCCAGGGTATATGTTACAAATTTCAGAGTGCTGTTTTTGTTTAATTTGATCTTCAAGTATCCTCTTTACATTATTTTTTTAACATAATTAGTATTAAGGATTGTCTGCAAATGCTACATGTATATTAACCCACTCAAATCATTATGTTCACAAAACAATAGTTGACAAATGATTGACATGATAATTTACTTATAACACTTATCATCATCTTACGGTAGTCCAGAACAAAAAGTCCAGATCCACCCTTGCTGAACTCGGCTTTTACTGTCAGTTAACTCTCTTGCTTTGGGAAGATGGTTATCATATTCGCCTAAACAGTTACTACCTGGATGTATAGCAGCTTCCTGTCCAATTCAGGTTAAATCATACAGATTGGTGTACTTTCTTAACAGGCAAAAAAGCTTTCATAAACAAATTTTAAATTAATTTTAAAGAATAGACAGCCTTTGCCATGTCCTCAGTGGACCGCTAATTGTCAATAATTAAAAGTGAGCCGTACCTGACAGAGCTTCTCCCCGCTGTAAGACATCGTCGATATTCTGCACCATGATTCTCTGTACATCCTGAAGTTCTGTGTTAATATTGGTCAAGTTCCGTCTTGCTCTTGAATCCATGTACGACTTCCTTGTTCTTTGAATAAATGTGTCTGAAAATACAAACAGTCAGGTGAATACATATAATTTCCCCAGCCATAGTGTTTCCGCCAATGGCAACTACCGGTAGTCCGTTATTGTATAGACCTGTACCCCGTTCCACATAGCAATCATAGCGCTACGACTATTGTGAGCGTCTTAGCGCTGTGATCATTTTGTGGAATGGGCCCCTGAACCCTGTAATGTCATCACTCCTTGGGTGGATACACTTTGTAACATAATGTTGACATGCATATCATGGATTGTTTGTTTCAAACATATTTTATTGACATATATGGTCAACGGGATTGGTCAAAAGTTATCCAACTTAGGTGGCCCTTTCCCTAATATATTTGCAGAGACATTGATTATACATACATATATATTGATTCTGTCATCAATCCATGGCTATGACTGGTTTGTTCCAATCAATCAGACATCATTCATAGTCCATTGCTATTTTCTTTTGAAATTACCAGAAATTGCTTATAAAAAAGCTGTTTGTACCAGGATTACAAATTAAGAATCTTATTAAAAAAAACTTGAAAACTTGATTGACTTAAAATTGATGCTGAATGTGTTCATGTGTAATTAACTACAGATCAAAAGAATGATTGGTCTGTCTTAACATGCTTAATACACATATGGTATCAAATGGCATCTTCCTAACAAATGATTACGTACATTTATCAATTATACTATGATCAATCATTTCACTGGAACAGTGTAGCCAATTAATGATTGACATAATCAACTAACCACATCACTATGTGATATGATACAGGAACTGAAATATGTAATTTACTGTAATCTCTTGTCATGATAAAGAGCTGTGTTCAATGAGAAAAGCCAATTAGCAATCACGCAAACCTGAGTGAATGAAAGTAACTAGCGCTTGAGAACTATTCATTTTCCTGTGATTTGTTGAGGTTTAATGCTGTGGTTTTAATCATTTTAATCTATGGACCCCTTAATCTCATATCTTACTTTTTATGGTTATGGTAATTTCTTTCCTTGTTATAATATTGAAACTGTTTGCCCTCGGAATGTACTGTATCAATAGGAATCATGAATAGTATGAACAATAGTATTCATGACAATCAATAGTTTTAATAGTCGCAATTAGTCATAAATAAAACAAAAGCTGCATCAGAAAACTAAGTTTTTACAGTCAAATTTCAAACCTGCCTGGTGTTGATTAGCAAGGATTATGACAACTTCAGATTAGAGTTACTTCCCTTTGGTTTGTGTGACAGGGTGGAAAATGCATGGCCGACTTTGACATTGTCAACGATACTTTATTCATTTCTTTTACACTGATCAATATAATTATCAATCTTTAAAGTTGGTTTAATACTATTGCAGTAGTGTTGGGTCCTATTGCAATACAACTGCAAAAGTGAAAATAGCCCATAGTCACCCCTTAAAATCATTTCACTGATGCAACGACTTCAAAATTTATGTATTGCTATTAATAGCAAAATGAGTCATAAAGTCATGATGCAACCCATTATGTTAAGACTAAATTCTAATAAAAAAGAAACCAATAACAAGTTGTTTCTTCAGAATGTTTTTGAGACAGGCTCTTACAGGGTTAATCTGTAAGCATAACAGTTATCCAAAACATCCAACTAAAGATCATTTTAGATGGCATATCACTCAACATTAATACTTTTGTCACTCACTTGGTATACCTTGTGTACAGGTAACTCATATCATAACACATGGTTTTTAAAACAATATGGGGGCGTAGGGGTAGCCTAGTGGTTTAAGCATTCGCTCGTCACGCCGAAGACCTAGGTTCGATCCCCCACATGGGTACAATGTATGAAGCCCATTTCTGGCGTCCCATGCCGTGATATTGCTGGAATATTGCAAAGGCAGTGATAAAGCCATACTCACTCACTCACATAAAACAGTATGTGTACATTAGGCTTCATAAAATTCTTCCTCTGTGTTATGGAAACTTGGCGACTACTTAGACTGTCAACCTTATTCCATTCAGATATCTATTGAGGACAGTCAAATTTCCAAACTTAAAATGACATTCATGAAAATGTCTTATTTCAGAAAGATGAATTACTCTGTTGTATCCTGATGTGTCCTTTGCTAATGTATGTATTGTATCAGTAGTCTTGCGTTACAATATTGTCACATACTGTGTGCTGACTGCAGTTTGGAGTTTGACACCACCGTCACAGGTGTTGTCTGAATAAATCAGTAACCATGGCAACTTGTAGACAACACCTCCCCAGCATAAGGAGCTTCATGTGTTGTTGTAATGTTCTAAAAACACTGGTGAATGCAAGGACCTCCTTTAGAATGTCCTCCATATAATCATAAAAGGTCTATTTTTTTTAAGAGACCCATTGCCAGAATGATCTCTGCAGTGTAAGTACATCATAGAAGAAGCTTCACTCAACCAACATCTTGACCATCTGATCCACATTGTCTTGCTACACCCATGGGGAACTCAACACCCAGTCCAGTAATGTCTTGATACTACCACATGGAAGTTAATACCCACTCCAGTCTGTCTTGCTACAACCACGCATAACTTAACACTCATTCTGGTCACGTATCGCTACAACCACAAGGAACTGAACACCCATTCCAGTCATGTCTTGCTACAACCACAAGGAACTGAACACCCATTCCAGTCATGTCTTGCTACAACCACAAGGGACTGAACACCCATTCCAGTCATGTCTTGATACAACCACAAGGGACTGAACACCCATTCCAGTCATGTCTTGATACTACCACAAGGAACTGAACACCCATTCCAGTCATGTCTTGATACAACCACAAGGGACTGAACACCCATTCCAGTCATGTCTTGCTACAACCACAAGGGACTGAACACCCATTCCAGTCATGTCTTGCTACAACCACAAGGGACTGAACACCCATTCCAGTCATGTCTTGCTATAACCACAAGGGACTGAACACCCATTCCAGTTATGTCTTGCTACAACCACAAGGGACTGAACACCCATTCCAGTCATGTCTTGATACTACCACAAGGGACTGAACACCCATTCCAGTCATGTCTTGCTACAACCACAAGGAACTGAACACCCATTCCAGTCATGTCTTGATACTACCACAAGGGACTGAACACCCATTCCAGTCATGTCTTGCTACAACCACAAGGGACTGAACACCCATTCCAGTCATGTCTTGCTACAACCACAAGGGACTGAACACCCATTCCAGTCATGTCTTGCTAAAACCACAAGGGAGTGAACACCCATTCCAGTCATGTCTTGCTACAACCACAAGGGACTGAACACCCATACCAGTCATGTCTTGATACAACCACAAGGGACTGAACACCCATTCCAGTCATGTCTTGATACAACCACAAGGAACTGAACACCCATTCCAGTCATGTCTTGCTACAACCACAAGGAACTGAACACCCATTCCAGTCATGTCTTGATACTACCACAAGGGACTGAACACCCATTCCAGTCATGTCTTGCTACAACCACAAGGGACTGAACACCCATTCCAGTCATGTCTTGCTACAACCACAAGGGACTGAACACCCATTCCAGTCATGTCTTGCTACAACCACAAGGGACTGAACACCCATTCCAGTCATGTCTTGATACTACCACAAGGGACTGAACACCCATTCCAGTCATGTCTTGATACTACCACAAGGGACTGAACACCCATTCCAGTCATGTCTTGCTACAACCACAAGGGACTGAACACCCATTCCAGTCATGTCTTGCTACAACCACAAGGGACTGAACACCCATTCCAGTCATGTCTTGCTACAACCACAAGGGACTGAACACCCATTCCAGTCATGTCTTGCTACAACCACAAGGAACTGAACACCCATTCCAGTCATGTCTTGATACTACCACAGGGACTGAACACCCATTCCAGTCATGTCTTGCTACAACCACAAGGGACTGAACACCCATTCCAGTCATGTCTTGATACTACCACAAGGGACTGAACACCCATTCCAGTCATGTCTTGCTACAACCACAAGGAACTGAACACCCATTCCAGTCATGTCTTGCTACAACCACAAGGAACTGAACACCCATTCCAGTCATGTCTTGCTACAACCACAAGGAACTGAACACCCATTCCAGTCATGTCTTGATACCACCACAAGGGACTGAACACCCATTCCAGTCATGTCTTGCTACAACCACAAGAGAGTGAACACCCATTCCAGTCATGTCTTGCTACAACCACAAGGGACTGAACACCCATTCCAGTCATGTCTTGATACTACTACAAGGGACTGAACACCCATTCCAGTCATGTCTTGATACTACCACAAGGGACTGAACACCCATTCCAGTCATGTCTTGCTACAACCACAAGGGACTGAACACCCATTCCAGTCATGTCTTGATACTACCACAAGGGACTGAACACCCATTCCAGTCATGTCTTGATACAACCACAAGGGACTGAACACCCATTCCAGTCATGTCTTGATACAACCACAAGGGACTGAACACCCATTCCAGTCATGTCTTGATACAACCACAAGGAACTGAACACCCATTCCAGTCATGTCTTGCTACAACCACAAGGGACTGAACACCCATTCCAGTCATGTCTTGCTACAACCACAAGGGACTGAACACCCATTCCAGTCATGTCTTGCTATAACCACAAGGGACTGAACACCCATTCCAGTCATGTCTTGCTACAACCACAAGGGACTGAACACCCATTCCAGTCATGTCTTGATACTACCACAAGGGACTGAACACCCATTCCAGTCATGTCTTGCTACAACCACAATGGACTGAACACCCATTCCAGTCATGTCTTGATACTACCACAAGGGACTGAACACCCATTCCAGTCATGTCTTGCTACAACCACAAGGGACTGAACACCCATTCCAGTCATGTCTTGCTAAAACCACAAGGGACTGAACACCCATTCCAGTCATGTCTTGATACTACCACAAGGGACTGAACACCCATTCCAGTCATGTCTTGCTACAACCACAAGGGACTGAACACCCATTCCAGTCATGTCTTGCTACAACCACAAGGGACTGAACACCCATTCCAGTCATGTCTTGCTACAACCACAAGGGACTGAACACCCATTCCAGTCATGTCTTGATACTACCACAAGGGACTGAACACCAATTCCAGTCATGTCTTGCTACTACCACAAGGGACTGAACACCCATTCCAGTCATGTCTTGCTACAACCACAAGGGACTGAACACCCATTCCAGTCATGTCTTGCTACAACCACAAGGAAATGAACACCCATTCCAGTCATGTCTTGATACTACCACAAGGGACTGAACACCCATTCCAGTCATGTCTTGCTACAACCACAAGGGACTGAACACCCATTCCAGTCATGTCTTGCTACAACCACAAGGAAATGAACACCCATTCCAGTCATGTCTTGATACTACCACAAGGGACTGAACACCCATTCCAGTCATGTCTTGCTAAAACCACAAGGGACTGAACACCCATTCCAGTCATGTCTTGATACAACCACAAGGGACTGAACACCCATTCCAGTCATGTCTTGATACTACCACAAGGGACTGAACACCCATTCCAGTCATGTCTTGCTAAAACCACAAGGGACTGAACACCAATTCCAGTCATGTCTTGCTACAACCACAAGGGACTGAACACCCATTCCAGTCATGTCTTGCTAAAACCACAAGGGAGTGAACACCCATTCCAGTCATGTCTTGCTACAACCACAAGGGACTGAACACCCATACCAGTCATGTCTTGATACAACCACAAGGGACTGAACACCCATTCCAGTCATGTCTTGATACAACCACAAGGAACTGAACACCCATTCCAGTCATGTCTTGCTACAACCACAAGGAACTGAACACCCATTCCAGTCATGTCTTGATACTACCACAAGGGACTGAACACCCATTCCAGTCATGTCTTGCTACAACCACAAGGGACTGAACACCCATTCCAGTCATGTCTTGCTACAACCACAAGGGACTGAACACCCATTCCAGTCATGTCTTGCTACAACCACAAGGGACTGAACACCCATTCCAGTCATGTCTTGATACTACCACAAGGGACTGAACACCCATTCCAGTCATGTCTTGATACTACCACAAGGGACTGAACACCCATTCCAGTCATGTCTTGCTACAACCACAAGGGACTGAACACCCATTCCAGTCATGTCTTGCTACAACCACAAGGGACTGAACACCCATTCCAGTCATGTCTTGCTACAACCACAAGGGACTGAACACCCATTCCAGTCATGTCTTGCTACAACCACAAGGAACTGAACACCCATTCCAGTCATGTCTTGATACTACCACAGGGACTGAACACCCATTCCAGTCATGTCTTGCTACAACCACAAGGGACTGAACACCCATTCCAGTCATGTCTTGATACTACCACAAGGGACTGAACACCCATTCCAGTCATGTCTTGCTACAACCACAAGGAACTGAACACCCATTCCAGTCATGTCTTGCTACAACCACAAGGAACTGAACACCCATTCCAGTCATGTCTTGCTACAACCACAAGGAACTGAACACCCATTCCAGTCATGTCTTGATACCACCACAAGGGACTGAACACCCATTCCAGTCATGTCTTGCTACAACCACAAGAGAGTGAACACCCATTCCAGTCATGTCTTGCTACAACCACAAGGGACTGAACACCCATTCCAGTCATGTCTTGATACTACTACAAGGGACTGAACACCCATTCCAGTCATGTCTTGATACTACCACAAGGGACTGAACACCCATTCCAGTCATGTCTTGCTACAACCACAAGGGACTGAACACCCATTCCAGTCATGTCTTGATACTACCACAAGGGACTGAACACCCATTCCAGTCATGTCTTGATACAACCACAAGGGACTGAACACCCATTCCAGTCATGTCTTGATACAACCACAAGGGACTGAACACCCATTCCAGTCATGTCTTGATACAACCACAAGGAACTGAACACCCATTCCAGTCATGTCTTGCTACAACCACAAGGGACTGAACACCCATTCCAGTCATGTCTTGCTACAACCACAAGGGACTGAACACCCATTCCAGTCATGTCTTGCTATAACCACAAGGGACTGAACACCCATTCCAGTCATGTCTTGCTACAACCACAAGGGACTGAACACCCATTCCAGTCATGTCTTGATACTACCACAAGGGACTGAACACCCATTCCAGTCATGTCTTGCTACAACCACAATGGACTGAACACCCATTCCAGTCATGTCTTGATACTACCACAAGGGACTGAACACCCATTCCAGTCATGTCTTGCTACAACCACAAGGGACTGAACACCCATTCCAGTCATGTCTTGCTAAAACCACAAGGGACTGAACACCCATTCCAGTCATGTCTTGATACTACCACAAGGGACTGAACACCCATTCCAGTCATGTCTTGCTACAACCACAAGGGACTGAACACCCATTCCAGTCATGTCTTGCTACAACCACAAGGGACTGAACACCCATTCCAGTCATGTCTTGCTACAACCACAAGGGACTGAACACCCATTCCAGTCATGTCTTGATACTACCACAAGGGACTGAACACCAATTCCAGTCATGTCTTGCTACTACCACAAGGGACTGAACACCCATTCCAGTCATGTCTTGCTACAACCACAAGGGACTGAACACCCATTCCAGTCATGTCTTGCTACAACCACAAGGAAATGAACACCCATTCCAGTCATGTCTTGATACTACCACAAGGGACTGAACACCCATTCCAGTCATGTCTTGCTACAACCACAAGGGACTGAACACCCATTCCAGTCATGTCTTGCTACAACCACAAGGAAATGAACACCCATTCCAGTCATGTCTTGATACTACCACAAGGGACTGAACACCCATTCCAGTCATGTCTTGCTAAAACCACAAGGGACTGAACACCCATTCCAGTCATGTCTTGATACAACCACAAGGGACTGAACACCCATTCCAGTCATGTCTTGATACTACCACAAGGGACTGAACACCCATTCCAGTCATGTCTTGCTAAAACCACAAGGGACTGAACACCCATTCCAGTCATGTCTTGCTACAACCACAAGGGACTGAACACCCATTCCAGTCATGTCTTGCTAAAACCATGTGCAACTTAACACCCATCCTGGTCATGTATTGCTACAACCACAAGGAACTGAAAACCCCAATCTCATAAAAATCAGATCTGAGGACATTCCATTAGGGGTCATGTCAAAACGACCTTTCATCCAACCAATCAGAGCTTCACCTACCAGATCATGAAAGTGACAGTCAGAATGTGATTTTTAATCATGCAACCTCGAAAACCTTAACACAGGGTATTCCGAGTGATAGTTACAGGTTTACAATCTAGATCAACTATGAGCCATTCCAGAATTTTCCTTTTTTCAGGTTTCAAATTTTTAATCGAGAATTTGTCAAATTATGTTTCGAAGCGTAGTTGCCAATTTGAAATTAGTGCTGTAAAGCACGAGAAAACTGCCTTCTGATTGGCTAATGTCAATTTCTTGTCAGTCATTCCATTGGTCGGTCAAAGTTCGCGAAAGGTCGGTCTGACGTGTCCTGTAATGGGATGTCCTGAGCAGTAGCAAGAACTTGTATCTGATTTTTTTTCAGATTGAGGTAATCTAAGCATGTGATTTTTTAAATCCTGTTTTGTTTATTTAAACCATTAACTGTTTATTGTAAAGCAAGCTTAGCTCTGCAGCCCTTGTAAATATGCAGCTACTAGTCAACTCATCTTGCATCAAAACACGACTGTGTACTGGTGGGCAGATGACCGCGGAGTACGCTGATTGCCGTGTCGGATTATCAAGACCGATTAATGAGTGATTTTGGTATTTGTTGCAAATTAGATATATCGGAGTTGGAGTGTGAGACGGGTCTAAATAACACTGATCTAATTGGTTCCCAACAGTTGTGTTGGATAAAGCCGATTGTCAGATTAACGAGTGTCGGATTAGAAAAAAAATAATTTTTTTCCACTTGTCCTTATAATGATAACATATAGCAAAACCCTTAAAAAAGGCAAATTTCTACAAGTCCTTATGATACCTTAACTATTGGGCAGTTTGGCAAGGACTACAGGACTAGTGCCAATTTCTAACGCTGCAGTAAATATGGTTTATTTTGCCATTATGACTTTGCCTGGGACAAATCCAAACTCAACCACATTCACAACAAATATTTTGGCCTTTCTTAACACCCTCTTACCAAATTCAATAAAGCTGTAAGGCCGTGAGACGGTCTCCACTCGGGAGCCATACTGACTGGCGAACTCGCCCTGTAGGTCCTCTAAGTAGGTGTATGCTAGTCTCTTGGAGAAGGACTTCTCACACAACACAAGGTAGCACACACCACGTTCCAAGCAGTAGCTGGAACAAAAAAAGGCTGTTAGTACTTCATAGCAGAAAACTATCATCAGATTTCATTCTTTATAACCTGTTCAGGGTTTGACATTAAGGAAGACTGTCAACTGTATAAGCATCTATACCAAAATGTCACCTTTACAATAATTACAGAAGTTGTTATCCATAAATTGTGTCTACTTTGTAAGAATGTCAAAGGGTCAGTGTAAGATGACACAATCAGCCAGGTCAGCCAGGTCACCCATGTTTAGTGAATTGCCGATCCTCATATTCAGTCAGCTATTACAACACCCATGGATTTCTTTCTTGCTACTAACATGACAGAGAAAGTGAAGAAATGAATTCAGATTATGGAAACCAAATTTAAAAAAACTAACTTTGGCATTTTTCAAACTTCTGGCCATGTTACATCGTCCTTTACTAGCAACAAGACAGCTACTTCAATACAACACCACCTTCCAAATGGTCATTGAAACCATAAAACCATTGTTGATGTCAAATCAAATTTCAAGAATGCTTGATACTGAATGACTTGTTTGACATATTTAGATGAAGTAACAAAACAACTCTACTTGATAATCTATGTAACAAAGCAACAGATGCTTTGTGGCATTTCTTCTAACTATTTAATACTGCGAAAGCACAGCACAAACATATCATGTGTTACTTGTGAAATCATGGATCATCAAGGGACTTACTTGGTCCCACTCTGTTGAATCAATCTGCAGTCTAGCTGTTGAAATACTATTTCAGTGTGCCCATAGTTTGTTTCTTTGTAATTAGGGTAAACATCTAGTGCTAGATAGACTGTCATCATAAAATGTCATTTTGCGGAAAAGTGGTGTTTTATTATGTGTTTTCATGACTTGTAGAAAATTGCAAGGGCTTCAATTGTCCATTGCCAAGAATCACAAGTAGAATGGCTAAACATTAACATCTTACTGGAATATGAAAGGTCCTGTCTCCAGACTGCATCTAGTTGGCGGCTGTGGGTCGGTGGAGATTTTACGGAATAGCTGCTTTGCCTGGTTCTGATATTCCATCATCCCTCGACCGGCCTGTAATTTGTGTAAAATACCATTAGATTTTCAGCATCAGATGAGATTTAAACATGGTGAAATTTAAACTGATTGTGAAACTGACTCTGAGCTATATATAGAAGGTGTTAAAATTGAATACCAACAACATTTAGCATGTCACTACGTACTTACAAATATGTCCGGTAGTAGGCTTAACCGTTTCTAACAAACATGTACAAAACTGAATCAAGACGCTACCTGTTCATCTTCTTGGACAGACGCTGCTAGTGGCAGGCCGTCAGCAACACGCGCGATCATTGTCAGCAAAACCATTTTGATTGTGAGATGCTTAAAACATCATTCGATTCAAATCCGAAAAACTGTTCACGTCAGCTGACGTGTAGGAGAGTAAACGTGATGTATGTGAATGTACACAATCCAGCTGGAAAGCTGTCTGCACTGTAGAAAATGACGTGGCTAGAAATATACTATTCGACGTACAACTTATTATTGTTATGTCTACCGGTCAAAAATTGGCAAACGACACTCTGTTTGCGAATCGATATATACAAAAAAGAGGGAAATGTAAACATGGGGAAAGGAATAACAGTCATTTAATTTCTCGACTTTCCCCTACAATTTTAGATTTGTTTGGTTCAAATAAACAAAATCCTTCTTGAATCGTTAGTGATAGCTTCTCACCCTCTTAACTGAAATTGTCGAAAGATAGTCAGATATTAGATGCAACTGTATTATATTTTGTCTCGCCACCACCACCATTCTATGTAATGTTACAACTTTTCATGACGATGTTTACTTAAAGATTAGAACATGTAACTGGTATACAACATTCAATAACTCCAAATTAACGCTTCACAAAGATTGGGGCGGCCGGGTAGCCTAGCGGTTAAAGCGTTCGCTCGTCACGCCGAAGACCCGGGTTCGATTCCCGACATGGGTACAATGTGTGAAGCCAGTTTCTGGTGTCACCCGCCGTGATATTGCTGGAATATTTCAAAAGGCGGCGTAAGACTATACTCACTCACTTAACAAAGATTAATAGACAACTTAACTTCTCATGCTAGGTGGAACACGTGGGTTAATCCTTAAACTGTTTGGTCGGCAGTTCTAGAAGTTCTACAAGATATTTTGTAACTACTTCATTCTATTATGGTGCGACGTAAAACACGTTCACAACCAATAAAATATAACATCCGACCAGGTATGACCTATGGGACATTAAACATAAAATCATAAATATAAAGTCACAGGTCGGAATAAGAAAAATTGAGACAAACCAACACAGTTAATGTTATTTTAATTTAAGAATTTCGTGTACTACGGCCATCGGTATGTATGTTGTGATTTCGAACTATGTGAACTATTGTCTGTTGCAATAATCTAGGCCCAAGTGTAATGGTCACCGCTGTAATCTGCCATATATTCATGAAACAAATTCTCAAACATACAAACATATTCCACATGTTCAGAAACAGTCTTCGTTCATATAATTTATTCATACATTTATACATATACATATTTACAAACATTATGAGTAGCATTTTCCACATAAAAAAATCATAATTTGTTTATTCATACATACATTTATTCGGCAAGAGGCTGCTCCTTCTTAATAATGTGACCCACGAATTTGAAGATGTCTGGATGTAGCCCTCAGTCCTTTAAAACAACATACAGGGTGAGGGCACAGTGAGGTTAAACCTCCTCATTATCTTAACCCCAAGAGTGTTATCCAAACGAATGAAACATCTATTGTCCATCAATTGATAAGTGGTAATGGGATTAACGGATGATCTTCTTCTGTTTATTCAATCATGACCGGACCACCCGTTGGGTCAGCTTATCTTTGATTAAATCCAATTAAACCAATTGCATGTAATTACTTCAGGTGTGAAGGCGGACCCCCCGGCTCCGACCCCCCCTTCCCCTGAGCTATTACTTTGGTTTTTTTCACAAATTCGTTTGCAGCCACGGGACGTTTGGGATTGAGGATTATTAGTTGTTAGTCCTACAATGTATTATTGCGTGACTTATTGCGCATGACAGGAAGTAGTATTTGTTGTATCATTTTCAGACGAATATTCTCAGTATATATCCCATACAAAGTGAAGTAAATCACACTTTGGATGGCACAATTTGTATATAATTGATCAAATAATTATACGAAAGAAGAAAGGTTACAGTAATACCTTTCTAGGACAAAAATTTGACTAGCGTAGATTTTAGTTTCGAACGCACACGTAATCACAAGAATCGACAACATGGCTTCCGAGTGAACTCTTCCTGTTGAAAATCGCACGGGTTAGTCGTTTTGAAGCCGGTTTATTCTACATGCGAATATACATCATCCCTGTGATGTCGATATTCATTGGGTGTTGAAATTGAGGCGAAGGAATTACTTCTATATTTCCTAGGTAAGTGATAAGTCTTCCCTTTTGGCAATATTGTGTTGTTTTTGACACACAGGACTAGTGACATATGTTGTTGTGAACGCTGCCCAGATCCTGTTAATGTTAATACGTCATTGCAATCTCGGGGCACTTTAACATTAATTGTGAAGTGAGCTTCAGACAATTGTCATCAGTGACTGAACCTTGAATGTCATTGATCGATTAGCGAAATGTCACCCTAAAAATTGAAATGTCAGCTGTTCAGAAAACAACAACCGGGGCTTATGTTATAAGTATTGTTTGTGTACTCTAGGTGTTTGAGATATGGATGTATATCATACAACAAGTAGTTACTAGGCCAGTAAGACACTTAAGTCCTTCACCCAATCATTTCTGTGAATAGACATGATAGAGAGAAAAGCAATGCCAACCATCTGGGAAAACATGATCTTATCTTCATCATGTTCATGATCTTTTAACAATTTGAGATTATTTTCTGTCATTGATAGAAAATAAAGATTTTGTTATTTAATGCAGGTGGTATTTCAGTGAGAGACTGAATCCTTTCACTTCCCCCACCTGCAAAAGTTAAGACAGTATTGTGTTGATTCCATGGGTATTAGAACAGAAGTGAAGAGAAATCTTTCAGTGCCTCAACGCTTTACACCCTTATCCATGTTATCAGAGCCTCTCTTGTTCATACAAACAAACGGGTAGACATCAGGGAATTGTCATTTCTTCGAAAATAGTCATGTTTAGCTGCCTATGGAAACACTTTCTGATATAACTTAAGTAACTCATTCCCAAATCTAAACTTAATAGCTTTATACAGTCATGTCCCGCTTATATGGACTTCAGATATCAGGAAACCTCGGTTCCCGGACGATTTTCATTCAAAACGAAATAATTACTATATAAATTTACCCGTATATACCAGTGTATACAGAAATTCAGTTTCCGGAACCGGATGGTCATTTTCATACACAAAACACTGAAATGCACACAAAATTGTCTCACTTACCATGCTTACCCGGACAATACACTTCCGCTGGTGGTAATCCTTCCGCTGGTGGTAATCCTTTGATTCGTGAGAAGTCAATTAACCAAGTGACACTGAGTTACGTTTGAGACGAGCTTGTTTATTGTACATGTAATCCCATTTGATAAATATGGCGTCTGTGGAGGTCAGAGGTCAAAGTCGTGACTTCAAACTGAGTATGGCCTGTGAACCAGCGAAATGTAAGCGAAACGCTATTTTGGTGGCAAAATGGACATTTCTGACTTTGCATATTCTCGTGGGTGGCGATCTGGACAATTTGGAATTATTGTTTAAAATTCAAACCTCAAAATGTGTTAAAGTTCAAGCTTCCATGACAGATTTTTTGAAACGTGTATGTCTTGAATAAAGATTGAGTGGATGTATCTGTTTGCTCTGTCATCTGTCATGAGTTGCATAATTGAAGGGAAGTAACTCTTCCAGTAAGAAGCTGGTTTCAGTTATACGGAAATTCATTTATATGGACGAATTGTGAAATGACGCAAGTGTCCGTATAAACGAGGCACGACTGTATTAAGTTGAAGTGCTGTAGGTTTATCGCCAAATTGAGAACCATTGATCTCTGTATCAAATTAAAATGATACCAGTATCATCATCATATCATACAGTGGTCAAGTTTAAGAATGAAAGTGAAGGGGTCCTTGTTATAACTTTGATGTTAAGAGTTAGGGGTTCCTAGATTCAAATATAGTCAGATTATATGTTTTCGGACATAATATGTTTTTTTATGGCTATATTTATTGCGATTACTCGGGCTATAACAAAGGGTGTGGCGTCACACAGACATTATAAATACTCAGATGATGGCTTGTTTTCAAGATAAAGTTGTCTTTTATAAGTGATTGAGATGTTTACAGTAGTCCATGTAATTTGTGAGAAAATGTTTCTTAAGCGTCCAAAAACCCATAATACGAGGATACTGTAGGATCAAATGGTACTTAGACCATGTAGACTTCAAGGATCCCCAGGACCCACCTTAATTCTGAACAATGTCATAGTTTTGAACTTAAATGACCATCAAGTCTTTTGTTTTTCAGAATGAGTCAGTCTGCACCGTGGCAAACACAGGATCTTCCTAATGCCCAGGGCGCTGGTGTTCAGTTTTACGATCCCACCAAGTTCCAAGCAACTGCTACAAATAATGTGGACCAAGCAGCTAATGGGCAGAATAATCAGGCAGGGGCAAGTAACTCTTGGAATAGTTGGGGTAACAGCTGGGCAGACAACTCTGTAAGTACAAATCAAGGCTATTCAGAGCCAGGTGTGAATGCTCAAGGTCAAGGTGTGGTAAAACAGTCTAGCGAGGGAGAACATGTTCAGAGTCAGGTGATCGGACAACAGCCTGGGAATGACAGTCAGTACTACAATCAGTGGCATCAGTCGGGGTGGGACCCCAAGAACCCTCAACAGAACTGGGACCCGAACACCCAACAGAACTGGGACCCGAACACCCAACAGAACTGGGACCCGAACACCCAACAGCATTGGGACCCTAATTCCCAGAAAAACTGGAACCCAAACACTCAGCAGAACTGGCAGCAAAGTCAAGGGAATATGGTTTGGGATGGACAGCAATGGGTGAACTCTCCACAGACCTGGCCAACCAGCCAGCAGGTGCCTGCTGCTCACACAGGAAATATTGCTTCTCCTGTTGTGTCGAGTGCACAGGAGCACCAGCCTAGTCTCTCCAACAGCAACACATCAGGGCAGTTTTATGAGCAGACATCACCCGAGACTTCTGGAAATTTCTCTCATAGTAGTGCATCTTTCTTCTCCCAATCTGTAGGGTTAAATGACTCCACATCCTCAAGTCTAGACCAGTCAAGTTCCAGTCACCATCTAGATCCATCCGGCTCCAGCCAGTCGGACTCATCTGCTCTTGTTGCTGATGACTCCATAAACACAGACGGTGGCACTGTGTCAGGATTCTTCGGAAAAGATGATGGGGATAGTGCGTTTGATGGAACTGCTGTGGCTGGAGAACCCAAACTGACAAGTGTTCCACAATACCTGAATGTGAACCCTGAATTCCACAGAACTGACTCGGCCATTAGTAATGCAAGTATGCAGACAGTGAATTATTCAAGTCATGGGTCTATAGGATCGATGGAAGATATAGACAATAAGGATTTAGTGCAAAATGTTACAAACCAGTTCCAGAATGTGTCTTTGGGCACAACTGGTTCCGGAATGGTAGGGGCGGGTCAACCAGGGTTCCCACCAGTGAGTGCAGGTAACATGAACCAGAATGCTGGTGGGAACTTGCCGCCGTCTGCTTCTCAACCCGGAGTGGAAGATGAGCAGACGGGAAACTTGACTGATTGGGAGATTGTCCCTAACCAGCCTGGACAAGTAGGGGGAACTGGAGCCAACTTCTTTATAGGAGGGGGTGAGGAATTTGTCAGTGAATCTGTCCCAAATCTTGGCCAGAATCTTGGGATGAACCAACCAGAGGTGAACACATCTGGAGTTTCCATCACTGGACCACCAATGTCATCATCGGGGCAACAGGAGGCTCCACTTTACCCCCCACCTGCTGGGTCACCAGCGGGAGGTAACCCCTTCAGGAAAAGTCCCCGCAATGTTCAGAGGAATGCATCTAACCAGTCTTTGCCGTCACTACAAGGAGATGTAGCTGTAGCTGGCCAACCCGTTGTGTTTAGTCCTGATAACCATGGTAACTTTACTGTGCAGCAAAGCGTTGCTGATAACATGTCTTCCTTTCCCGGAGATATACCCCGTCCTGTGTCTAGCAGTGAAATGAACATGGACCCGAGGCCGATACCTGTTAGTGCAGCAAATATGGATGCCAGACCAATAACTGGCAGTGTAGCCAACATGGACGTTAGTGCTTTCAAACCACCTGTGCCAACCTATGAGACTCACACCAACCTAGGAAGTGTTCCCGAGGGAACCAGCTCAAACACCGATGCTAAACAGACTGAGGTAATTTCAACAATTGACACAATTGTTGATTCCGGAAATAAGCCACCAGCTCATCCAGGACGCTCAGCTCCTTCGTCGCCACGGAAACACACATCTGCCTTCCACCCAGTGAGCCACAGGGCTAAACACAGCATGTCCCCGGCCACAACGCTGTGGGACAACATTGACGCCCCTGCCACCAACATCATCCTGGCACCTGCAGCTCCTATGCTGGTTGGGTCAGCAGCAGCGACAACGTCAGGATCCCCGGGCAAGGGTCCGGGACTGCCTGTGATTCCTGTGCAGGCGAGCCTGGAGAACAAGCTGAAGGACAACAAGGGCAAGGGAGATAATCAGGGTAATGACAGGAAGGAAGAGCATCAGATCGCCCCCGACAGAGATCGGAGATCCGACCGCGATGTGCGAGGTGGGAGTGACAGGTATGGGAGAAACGAAAGAAGCAGGGATGATGAAGTGAGGAGGAGCCGGGAAGATGAAGTAAGAAGGAGTCGAGAAGATGAAGTGAGAAGGAGTCGAGAAGATGAAGTGAGGAGGAGTCGAGAAGATGAAGTGAGGAGCCGTGAAGATGAAGTGAGGAAGAAAGAAGAAGATAACCGGTCAATAAACTCCCTTGAGGAACTTGACGCTCAAATTGATTACCGGGACCGGGATGAATATCGAGATCGTAGGTATAAGGATCGCTATGGTAACCGAGATCGAGATCCCAGGTATGATAGGCCTGCCAGCCGAGGTGACAGTTATAATGACGAAAGTCGGAGACGTGAAGTCTACAAAAGTCGTGATTACAGAGAACCTTACCGTCGTGATGGTTATTATGGTGACGAGAGATACGAGCGACCCCGTTCCAGACAAGGTCAGTTGTAAAGCTGCTGTGAATGCTTCATCGTAATAGATGTTTAACAAGCTCTCAGATCTAGCAAATTCATAATATACTGAAAACCAAAATGTCCGTCTTGTGCAAAGTTTTTTTTCTGGAAGTCTTATTGATTATCTTCAACATAATAATTTTATAATGCATTGGCCAAAATGAAGCTGATGGGGTCGTTGTTGGTACCACAAGGCATCAAAATTACCCCTGCGCACTTGAATATACCTACTCTTGTAGAGGGGTCCATGTGACCACCATCTGCCTTAAAGTGTGGGGTCCTCTCGACCCAGAGCCAGCTACATTTGGAATGTTTTCTTTCCATTTCGCATGGACGATGGATTATGGACAATCTGTATACAAAAGTCTTTTAGTTTCATCGATTTCGTGAACGGAGTGAGAGTCTCATGAGAAGTTATTGCTGGGTACATTTAAGAGTGTAGGGGTAGTTTCTGAGACTTGGTTGGTACTTTTTATCCCCCCGGCATATAATGCAGGGGGATATAGCTATGGACATGTCCGTCCGTCCGTCCGTCTGTCAGTCTGTCTGTCTGAATCGTTTCCGGAGCAGAACTCGAAAACAGTTAAATATTTCTTCATCAAACTTTGCATTTATATCACTGAAGTGGTGAAGTTGTGCCTTTTGCTATTTTAGAAATTTATATTTTTTACGTTTCCATGGCAACAAGTTGGACTTAGGTTCTAAAAGGGTGGTGTTCATTTCCGGAGCTTAACTCAAAAGCTGTTAAATACTTTCTCACAAAACTTTGCATGTCTACCAGGCACATACTGAACTGGTGCCTTTTGCTATTTAGGAATTTTAGAATTTTTTACGTTTCCATGGCAACAAGTTGGACTTAGGTTCTATAAGCATGATAAGGGTGGTGTTCGTTTCCGGAGCGTAACTCAAAAAACGTTAAATACTTTCTTACAAAACTGTGCATGTCTACCAGGCACATACTGAACTGGTGCCTTTTGCTATTTAGGAATTTTATAAATCTTTATTTTTTATGTTTCCATGGCAACAAGTTGGACTAAGGTTCTATAGGGTAGAGTTCGGTTCCGGAGCGTAACTCAAAACCCATTTAATACTTTCTAACAAAACTTTGCATGTCTATCAGACTCATAATGAACTGGTGCCATTTGATATTAAGGAGTTTTAGAAATGTTTAATTTAGAATTTCCATTGCAGCTATTTTGACATGGGCTAAGAGAAATGTTGGGTCAGTTTCCTGGTTTTGGGACCATAACCATAACGTTACGATAACGTGTTACAATGGGCGGGGGATATAGGTGACTTCGTTGACTATACACTTGTTTAGTTATTGTTTCTTGCAATTTGTCATTTGTTTGCATAAAAAAACCACAGAAACACACTGGTTTTACTTTCCATTTCATATGGATGCGACCATGGTGGATCTTTTGTTGTGGGTAAACAATGTATGCTTCTTCAAGAACATTCAACTCTTGACTCATTACATACAGAATTGCACATTTACTTGTGGTTACTTTACAGACAGCTGCCGGGGGCATATGTCATCTTACTGATGACTCTTGTTAGTGTTTTCAAAAGTGCCTGGATACACAGTTGTATAAGGTGTGCCGACAACGACCCCCTCCAGTCAGAATGAATATTGTCTCACATGATTAAGTTTGTGTTGAAAATTCGACAAATATAATTACCATGGTAATGAAAACAACACCATGTTCGTAAGTACGTGAATCAGGTGACTCAATGATTGCAGAGGAAGAACGGCCTGGGTCAAGGTCAGGAGTTCGCGATGTACAAGAGAGGTCACGGTCACGAACGGATTACGATAAGGATGCTTACTACAAGGACAAATATGGCAGAGGTGAGCTGGCTGACGATGATACAGGTCATTTGTGATACCGGTACTAGCAGTGATAAGTGTTAAGCTGTGGATAGGAATGTTCATGAAATGACTGTACAATATCACTAGCTCTGTCACCATGGTCACCAGACTCTCAAGGCCTGATAGTAGAAGAGGTATCCGAAGCTCTTGATGAAATGAGGGAGAAGAATTGTCGTTTATCTTAAATCATATGTGAAAGATTCATATAGCCATCCACCAAGAGATTTCAGAATAGGTTATCTCTAGAGCTGTGATGGGTAACTTGGGTACTTGGGTCAGGTGGGTATTGAGGAGGACCCAGGTACCCACAGGACTACCTGGACCTGTGGTTAGTTATGTGATGCATTGTTTAATGACAAAAATGATCTAGAACTATATGGTTACCTACAAGTCACTAAGGGCGGTCCGGTAGCCTAATGGTTTAAGCGTTAGCTCGTCACGCCGAAGACCCGGGTTCGATTCCCGACATGGGCACAATGTGTGAAGCCCATTTCTGGTGTCCCCCACTGTGATATTGCTGGAATATTGCTAAAAGCGGCGTAAAACCATACTCTCTCACTACAAGTCACTAATGTTCGCATTTCTTACTGACTATGCACCCATTCCTTCTGACTTTTATATGTTTAAATAAAGTTAAAACTTCAGTGTATGCATGACCAGATCATATTATACATGTATCTAAATACATTTTGTCCCGGGCTATGGTCAAACTATTCCCAATCTGACATTTTGTATCTATCTCTTGAGACCTACAGAGCGTACCCAGGTAGGGTCGGGGTAATAGTGAGGTGGGTACCTGTGTAGTAAATATGGACTCGTCCCAGCCCTAGTTATTACCCACTGGGGGGTCTGCTTAGATCCCCAGACCATATTTGGACTGAATTAGGGATCAGATGGTTCCAGTCTTTACTGGCAAGAGAATGTTCGATTCCTATTGCAACACATTTGACCAAGTTTAAGCATGTTTAACATATGTATAAAAGTTTTAGAATCTGTAGATGTGACATATGATTTTCTTAAAAAGATAGAGTGACTGTGTTAGCACAAAGTGATGGACTTTGAATGTACATGTTGTTGAACATCGACGTATGTATAAAGGATGTTATGTTTACCAGTAAATCTGTTTCTTCCCCAGGCTACGACTATGACTATTACAACACGAGATCTTCGCGATACTATGACGACCGGTATTACCAGTACTACCAGCGAGATGCTCGGTACTCCCAGGGTTACTATGATGAGTACTACGGCCATGGATATAACCCGAGGTATGACCTACACTGCTTCTCTGTAGAATGTAGTTAGGGACAGATCAGTTTAATTGCTTGTTTTATTGATGAATCTATGACAAGATCATTATTTTAGAAGTTTGGTGTTTGGTTAAAATTTCTTCAATTTTGTTTTCTTTTTTAAAACTTCAATGGCAAGATTTTTTGGTGCATTGACGAGGAAAATAGGAAAAACAAGAAATAAAATTGGTCTGTACAACAGCATGTACAGCAAGAAACTAACAGTGATTGGAGTATGATTAACAAGTTTGGAAATATGGTGTATATAGTCATCCTGTTTTCAAGAATTAATTGTGTAGATGTGCTGATAATTGCCCCTTGTGACGTCATTTGCCCCTTCCTTGTGACGTCATGCTGCCCCCTCCTTGTAACGTCATGCTGCCCCCTCCTTGTGACGTCATGCTTCCCCCTCCTTGTGACGTCATGCTTCCCCTTCCTTGTGACGTCATGCTGCCCCCTCCTTGTGACGTCATGCTGCCCCCTCCTTGTGACGTCATGCTGCCCCTCCCACTCCCCCAGTGTTATATTACCTACTGACTTAGCGTGCAAACCCTGGGAGAAACCATGTCAGCACGTATTTTCAAAGTGGAAGTTTCCTTAGGATGAAAATGTCATGCTGAAATATTAGTCATTCAATAAGGAAACTAATCCAAGACTTAACTGCCCTTTGCATGCCTTGTGACCTTGAAAATGAGAACCTTACTGACCTCACACTCATTTTTAGGGTAGATGTGTGAGTTGATACTTTTTTGATAGTTGATAGAATTGTTTAAACTTATGATAATGATGTGATGATTTGAAGAGACTGTCTCAGTAAAAACATCTCTTTTAAAGTCCTCTGTATGATAACAGACTTTCACGGATAACTTTGTGAGTAAAGGATTTTCTTGTGCCAGTACTCTTATACTCTTTTTTTAAAAATAATCTTGCATTTCCTTAGCTGCGCATTTATAGGATAGCATAGTGAATCTGTTGGATCAAAGGACTTATCTGGGTGCATCTGATTAACAGCAGTAGGTTCTTCAGATTTGCAGGGGTCACAGGTCATTGACTTCTGAAAACCAATGACCTTCCTTCTCTGGGTGCCATTGTACAAAGCAACCTTAACGCTACGATTGTCGTTAGTCAATGTTAAGGTATGGGAGTTACGATGACCTTAGCACTGAGATAGCTTTGGACAAAGGCACCCAGATCAATAACAGAGCCCTGGACACATGTATCTGAACCCTGTCCTTTTATTCCTCCGTGAGACCGTGAAGATCCGGGGTAGAGTAGGTCTTCAACAGACCCATGCTTGCCGTAAAAGGCGACTATGTTTGTCATAAGAGGCGGCAAACTTGATTGAGTTGTCAGACTCGCTGACTTGGTTGATGCTTGTGATGATATCCCAATTGCATTGATTGATGCTCATGATGTCAATCACTGGATTGTCTGGTACAGACTCAGTTATTTACATATAGCTGCAATATTGCTGAATGTGGAGTTAAACAACAAACAAACAAACAAAAAACATTCCTCTGTGTAATCTGTCACTTTGCTCAAATAAGAGAGAAGTTTGGTTAATTTCTCCCGATCCATGATCTGAGATTCCCTCTACAATGTTGTCAGTGGATGATTAATCAATAGGACTTAAATCAAACTTCCAAATTGGTCAGAAGCCCCAAATTTAAATTGGTATAATTGGAACGGTAAAAGATTACCATCTTCATATGATGTGAGAATCTCGGGGAAATCTCAGCAAACACTCTAAGGATCCCTCTAGGAGGAATCCCAGTTGGGAAATAACTGATACTATTGCATGGCATGGCATTGTGTTACCATAGTTACAACTGAAGTTTCCTGATTGAAAATGGAAAGCAACTGTTTTTTCTTTTTTCTCAAATGTCCACAAAGTAATCCATGCATAAATGTGTCACTGCTCACCAGTGGCATGAAATCTGTTGATTTCTTTTGGGACTTCCATGCATATTTGCTTAATGTTCATTCTCCGATATTTATCAATAATTGATCGATATTTAGTTAACCATTATTAATCTGTAAGATCTATATTGATAGCCAGCCCGAGTAGGATGGATTTAAATAATGTTGACAGACTAAAGCTAATAATCCAACTGTAAAGGCCTTGATAATGACAGTTGAAAGCCCTTGAAAAATCTTGAAAAGGCCTTAAATTTGAGTGTTTCATATCTGTATGAACCTTGTACAAAAATCTGATGAAGAGGGACTGTTTTTATAACTTATGGTCGGAATTTGAGGGTGCATTCTTTCAAACAAATTGTTTATGTACAAGTGGGTACATCACTGCATAGTGTGATAGCTACTTCTTGTGCTTAATCTAACATAGGATGCATAGTGATAGTCTGTTCTTTTAACCTGCATTTATTTATTGCACAAATACCCCAAAGTCAAGCCCACAATAAGGAATGCAAGGATATTAGACTTGGCTCTTCACATGGAACCAGAACTACTCTCTTGTGGAATATTTTCTTTAACAAAGGGGGATAAACCAGTAGTCATACAAGGTGCAGACCACTAGAAATTGATAGTTTTTCATGTGTCATTTCTTTGTCAAAAATAATTGTATTTAAAAATAGAAGTATATATCGGAGATGAAACTGGCCCTGCTTCCACAAATTTATATAGCCCTAACCTTGTTGGTGGTCCTACTAACTTGCAGATATAGCGAGTATTACAGCAGTCAGTATGGGGGAGGCGCGGAGGTAGACCGTTACAGTCAGCACAGTCAGTCCCGGGGACACACCCCTGCCCTGGACGATGTGTCACAGAGGTGAGGCAGAAGCAGCAGCAGCAGCAGCAGCATTGATGCAGTAGCTGCCCATGTGGTGTCGTGGTGGTGGTGTTGTCATGATGTAGCCCCCGGTTTTGCATGTTGTGGCTTTAAATTTAGCATACTGTTGACGCTTCCTGAATCTGAAGTCTTGGTTTTAAACCTGTTTACTGTGTGCTTTTTGATGATGTGCTTTTGTGTGCTGTACAAGGATACTTCCAATAATTGCTTCTGACACCTGCATGCATGTACAGCTCACACATTCCAGGGCATGTGGGAGGGAATGTTCGGGTGTGACGGGTGTGGATGGATTAGGGGATGGGGAGGGCTGTTTGAACGGATTAGGGTTGGGAAAGGTTTTGATGAGTGTGGATGGACTAGGGGATGGGGAAGGCTATGTTGATGGATGTTGGGGTGGGATGGGTGTAGATGGATTAGGAGATGGGGAAGGCTATGCCAATGGATGTTGGGGTGGGATGGGTGTAGATGGATTAGGGATGGGGAAGGTTATGCCGATGGATGTTGGGGTGGGATGGGTGTGGATGGATTAAGGATGGGGAAGGCTATGTGGATGGATGTTGGGGTGTACTGGGTGTGGATGGATTAGGGGATGTTGAAGGGGAAGGCTATGCCGATGGATGTTGATTAAGGGTTGAGTAAGGCTGTGAGGATGGAGCTGGGGTGGCTTGGGTGGGTGTTTGGTTGACTGTTTATACCTAATATATGGTATATAGTAGGCTAACTAAGGAATATCCCTTTATGCCACAACAGCAAGTTTGTAGCTATTGGTGGCGAGGGCAAATGTTGGATTAAGAGTTCTGTCTTGACTCTGGATGGGAAATATACACATATCGCCCTGGTATGTATTGCATGGCTGGTGCACACTGCATGGCTTGCACATGTCTACATGACCCTATTCTTCTAACATGGCTTGTTTGCATGGCTGATGGCTTGTGCAGCTCTGCATGTGCATGTAGGATGAATGACAGGCATGGCAAGTTAGATTATTTATTGCGTTTTCTTTTGTTTTTACATAAGCCTTTTCAGTTTCAGTTTTGCCTGGTTAATACCGTACTGTACAAGTCTGCAGTATATCAACATAGTATATCTGTATTCACTCAGTTGTGGGGGCGGTCGGGTAGCCAAGTGGTCAAAGCGTTCGCTCGTCACGCTGAAGTCCCGGGTTCGATTCCCGACGTGTACAACATGTGAAGTCCATTTCTGGTGCTCCCCGCCGTGATATTGCTGGAATATTGCTAAAAGCGGCGTAAACCCATACTCACTCACTCACTCACTCATTCAGTTGTGTGACCGCAGTAACATTCCCATGTGCTTTCTGAGACAATCCTTTGGTGGAATCCAGGTTCTAAGGTCACTGGATGTTGTTAAGACTTGATCGGGTTGTAGGTTTCTGACATGGCTGATTGCATGCCTCTGTACCACAATGGTGTTGATCGTTGCTTATGTTTCCAGTCACTGGTTTGCCTGGTCCAGACTCAATTATGTATGGCCGCGATGATAAGCCAGGAATATTGTTAACTGTGGTGTTAAGCCACTTTCTCTCATTCACTTATCCTTAACTATTATAAGTATTGTATCATGTCATGGTTTAATTTGTCACTTTATGAACCAGTAGCTGAAGTGTTAACATGTGTAAATCCACAGTTTTGATGGAGTGTTGAAACATGGCCACCATGTAACTTGTCTGTGCCACCTTGTGTTATACAGTTGTATACTTGATTTATCTCCAGTGGGGAGTACTACCAGGGCAATGGGTCAAGGTCATCCAGTCGTCAAGGTCAGGATGACCAGAAGGCATATGCACGACACAGCTATGATTACGACTATGGATATGACAACTATGGCTATGGATATGACTATGACCCCAACTATGGCTATTACTATGGCGATGCATATCAACAAGGTCAGTGAAGCATGCGATAATGGCTGCCATTCTTGTTTCCATAACAACCAATTGTTGAGTGTCTTGTACGGTATGTCACAAAATTTAAGATGTATACGTCATGTTAATGTTTGTGTTCTTTATTCTATTTGATCCATGAGTCTGAGAGGATTCATTGTTAGACAAGATCAACAGTGACACCTACACCTCTAAACCAACTCCATAGTGTAGTAGATAGAGTGTCTGCCCAGAGTGTGGAAGGAAGGTCAGTTTAGTCCACTGGCCTTATCTCTGACAGCTAACAGTGATGAGGATCAAGTGGTCAGAATGTGTTGCCTGGTTGGTTGTGTGCCATCATGTACAGTGTGATGGATTACTTACATGCCACCGTGATATAGGTAGAAAATTGCTGACTATGGCGGAAAACAGCTTTCATTACCCTGCATCTTTTTGAAAATGCTTCCTTTTGTTTTGTTAAAATCCTCTTTCTCAACTTGACACAGAAACCCCTGGACGTATGACACCACAGAAGCACACGATACCGCATGTCCGAGCTAGTTTTGGGGCCAATGGTCAGCTGATCAAGGTCCTGCCGAATCGTCCTGGCGATGGTCAGCCAGCCACAGTTGAGGTTCACAACCTGGAGGAGGCTTTGTCGGACAACAGGGCGGCAGAGGACCTGAGGGAGTTCCCTGGACCGCTCACAAGGTAGGTGTTATTAAGGGGAGGGGGCACACACAAGGTAGGTGTCATTAAGGGGGAGGGGCCACTCACAAGGCAGGTGTTGTAAAGGGGAGGGGGCACACACAAGACAGGTGTTGTAAAGGGGAGGGGGCACATACAAGGTAGATGTGTAAAGGGGAGGGGCCACTCACAAGGTAGGTGTTGTAAGGGGAGGGGGCACACACAAGGTAGATGTGTAAAGGGGAGGGGGCACACACAAGGTAGATGTGTAAAGGGGAGGGGGCACACACAAGGTAGATGTGTAAAGGGGAAGGGCCACTCACAAGGCAGGTGTTGTAAAGGGGAAGGGGCACACACAAGGAAGATGTGTAAAGGGGAGGGGGCACACACAAGGTAGTTGTGTAAAATGGAGGGGGCACACACAAGGTAGATGTGTAAAGGGGAGGGGGCACACACAAGGTATGTGTCATTAAGGGGGAGGGGCCACTCACTAGGTAGGTGTAAAGGGGAGGGGACACTCACAAGGCAGGTGTTGTAAAGGGGAGGGGGCACACACAAGGTAGATGTGTAAAGGGGAGGGGGCACACACAAGGTATGTGTCATTAAGGGGGAGGGGCCACTCACGAGTGTTGTGTCATTAAGGGGGAGGGGCCACTCACGAGTAGGTGTAAAGGGGAGGGGCCACTCACAAGGCAGGTGTTGTAAAGGGGAGGGGGCACACACAAGGTACATGTGTAAAGGGGAGGGGGCACACACAAGGTATGTGTCATTAAGGGGGAGGGGCCACTCACAAGGTAGGTGTTGTAAAGGGGAGGGGGCACACACAAGGTACATGTGTAAAGGGGAGGGGGCACACACAAGGTATGTGTCATTAAGGGGGAGGGGCCAATCACGAGTAGGTGTAAAGGGGAGGGGCCACTCACAAGGTAGGTGTTGTAAAGGGGAGGGGCCACTCACAAGGTAAATGTGTAAAGGGGAGGGGCCACTCACAAGGCAGGTGTTGTAAAGGGGAGGGGCCACTCACAAGGTAGGCGTTGTAAAGGGGAGGGGCCACTCACAAGGTAAATGTGTAAAGGGGAGGGGCCACTCACAAGGCAAGTGTTGTAAAGGGGAGGGGGCACACACAAGGTAGATGTGTAAAGGGGAAGGGGCACACACAAGGTAGTTGTGTAAAATGGAGGGGGCACACACAAGGTAGATGTGTAAAGGGGAGGGGCCACTCACAAGGCAGGTGTTGTAAAGGGGAGGGGGCACACACAAGGTAGTTGTGTAATATGGAGGGGGCACTCACAAAGTAGGTGTCGTCATTTGAGCAAGTGACAAGGTGGGTGTCGTCAAGGGGTGGGAGGGGTTGATGGTAGGTGTTGGGATGGAGGAGAGGGGAGTGCACTCACTAGGTAGGTGTAGTCAGGGATGGCGGAGCCAGGGGGATGGGGGACCAAGGGTTAGTTACACCTCACCAGATAGATGCAGCCACAATACTGATTATTGGGGCGTATATGTCAAATAAGAAAATAATAACAGATGGCAACTGTTTCTCGTTGTTGGGCAGATTTTACATACATTCTGTTTTCTTTATTGTTCCTGAATCCTTAGTCTGTTGTTCATTTCTGCCTCCAGAGCCGACACACACAAGAATGATGTTCTGCAGTTCTGTCAGCGGAAAGCCCAGAGCTGTGCAGAGAACATCAACATGGTTGATCGTGACTCAGCAGAACTCATCTGGAGACTCCTGGAACTCCTCATCAAACAGAACGGGGTGCGTCTCATGTTTGTTGTGATGAAGGATCATATTTGATGTTGAATATCAACTTTGGGATAAAGATGAACTTTGCTTGATGATTTGGTGCAATCATCAAAGTTTTGAGTCAAGAAATGTGTTTTTTTAATGATCTTCGTCAGTTGGCAATCCTCATCTTGTGGAGGAGTTCTGCTTATTTACTTTTCCGTTTATGATTCATTGTTTGTTGTATCTACTGTGTTGTACTCACTGTGTTGTACTGTGTTTTACAGTTGGGGGTGGACTCAGTCACTGTGTTTTACAGGCTGTTGTATTGTGTTGTACAATGTTGTATTCATAAGCTGTAGTCACTATTATGTACTGGGGCGGTCGGGTAGCCTAGTGGTTAAAGCGTTCGCTCGTCATGCCGAAGACCTGGGTTCGATTCCCGACATGGGTACAATGTGTGAAGCCTATTTCTGGTGTCCCCCGCCGTGATATTGCTGGAATATTGCTAAAAGCGGCGTAAAACCAAACTCACTCACTCACTCACTCACTATTATGTACTGTGGTTTAGTGTGCGATGAGCTCACTGACTGTGTTGTACTCACTGTGCGATGAGCTCACTGACTGTGTTGTACTCACTGTGCGATGAGCCCACTGACTGTGTTGTACTCACTGTGCGATGAGCTCACTGACTGTGTTGTACTCACTGTGCGATGAGCTCACTGACTGTGTTGTACTCACTGTGCGATGAGCTCACTGACTGTGTTGTACTCACTGTGCGATGAGCTCACTGACTGTGTTGTACTCACTGTGCGATGAGCTCACTGACTGTGTTGTACTCACTGTGAGATGAGCTCACTGACTGTGTTGTACTCACTGTGCGATGAGCTCACTCACTGTGTTGTACTCACTGTGCGATGAGCTCACTGACTGTTGTACTCACTGTGCGATGAGCTCACTGACTGTGTTGTACTCACTGTGCGATGAGCTCACTGACTGTGTTGTACTCACTGTGCGATGAGCTCACTCACTGTGTTGTACTCACTGTGCAATGAGCTCACTGACTGTTGTACTCACTGTGCGATGAGCTCACTGACTGTGTTGTACTCACTGTGCGATGAGCTCACTGACTGTTGTACTCACTGTGCGATGAGCTCACTCACTGTGTTGTACTCACTGTGCGATGAGCTCACTCACTGTGTTGTACTCACTGTGTGATGAGCTCACTCACTGTGTTGTACTCACTGTGCGATGAGCTCACTGACTGTTGTACTCACTGTGCGATGAGCTCACTGACTGTGTTGTACTCACTGTGCGATGAGCTCACTGACTGTGTTGTACTCACTGTGCGATGAGCTCACTCACTGTGTTGTACTCACTGTGCGATGAGCTCACTGACTGTGTTGTACTCACTGTGTTGTATTGTGTTTTACAGTCAGTGGTGGGCACGGACATCGCAGACCTGCTGCTGGAGGGGCACGAGCCGACGTCCTCGGAGTACAGCATGATGGGGATGAAGATCACACAGAGCACCGAGGAGCTCGACAAAGTGGGAGAAGACGAGACTGCAGGGGTGAAAGTGACATCAGACAGATCCCAGATCAATCGTGGACGCTCACTGGAAGAGATCACCGACAGATTCCGAAGTCTATTGTCGTATGGCAGGAAAAAAGTAAGTTGTCAATCTGATGTGTGTGGTGGTGTCTTGTTATTATCCCCCGCCCCAACGTCCATCCCCCGTCTGTCATGTCCTTTAAAGATTTTAAAATAATGTTTTATTTTATTTTTCAATTAAATGGCACACCTGTAGACACTGCAACAAACAAAGCTATAAAATGTCCACTAGTATGTAGTGTTAATATTTGAAAGGAATAAAATATATAACATACTTTGTAAATGTATATATTTATGTCTTGTTCTTGTTCCTGTCAGGATGCCCTGGAGTGGGCCACCAAGAACAACCTGTGGGGCCACGCCTTGTTCCTGGCCAGCAAGATGGACACCAGGACCCACGCCAGTGTGATGATCAGGTGCGGGCGACTAACGGGATCGGGTGGTCAGGCCTGCTGACTTGATTGATGCATGTCATCGTATCCACATTGCGTAGATCGATGCTCATGTTTTCAATCACTGGATTGGCTGGCCCAAAGTCAATTATTTACAGACTGCTGTCATACAGCTGGAATAATGTTGAGTGTGGCTTTAAACAACCAACCAACCAACTAACCATAGGTCAGGGGCCGTGGTACCAGGTGGCATCTGAGGCTTGTGTTAAACAAACTCAGTAATCTTTGAGCAACCCAAATTATGTTGCAACTGCTTGACCAAGAGAGGGATGGGGTAGCCCAGTGGTTAAAAAATCAGCTCATCGCGCTAATCATCAGGTTCAATTTCCCACATGAGTACAGTGTGTTGAGTCCATATTTCATCTGATATAGCTGTTGTATTAAACCCTTATCGTTGAAAACATTCATTTTTGGACATGACATGTGAAGTATGCTAGTAGTATTACACCAAGTAATGAGGGTATGACAAGTATTGATAGTATGACAAGTATTGATAGTATGACAGGTATTGGCAGTATGGCAGGTATTGATAGTGTGACAGGTATTGATAGTGTGACAGGTATTGATAGTGTGACAGGTATTGATAGTGTGACAGGTATTGGTAGTGTGACAGGTATTGACAGTATGACAAGTATTGATAGTATGACAGGTATGTGTAGTCTGACAAGTATTGGTAGTATGTGTATCATTCAAGTAATGGTTGTATGTTGTGTATGTTCAGGTTCGCTAACAGTGCTATGAAGATAAATGACCCACTGCAGACCCTCTACCAACTCATGTCCGGCAGACAACCTGCTGCTGTCACTGTAAGTAGTTATCCAGATAGTAGCATCTCTGCCTATGTTAGTTGAAACCTTTGTCACTGTGAGTAGTTCTAAACCATGTAGTATCTCCTTTCCAATTTTAGTTGCAAGGCAGATAGTTAAGAATGTTATTCATTGTGATTAGTTGACAAGACTGTCTTGTCAAAGAGCATCTTTCAAGATGAGGGAACTTATTCTCACCCTCCTTGCAGTGTGTGGTGGATGAGCGGTGGGGAGACTGGCGACCACATCTGGCTATGATTCTGTCCAACAGCTCCAGCAAGCCGGAACTGGACAGGAAGAGCATTGCTACACTTGGAGACACCATGGGTAGGTGTCTAGATACTAGACTTCATTTTTATTTGACCCTGACCCTAGCTCTCACCTCGACCTGACCATGACCTTATTTGATCTTGACTTTCACTCTTGCTTCATCTGACGCTCAAGTTGATTGACAATAAGTCCGGACCGGATGATAACTATATACTCAGCCTTGACCCTGACCCTGACCCTGACCCTGACTCTGATTCATGAAACAGAGCAGATAAAAATAATTTGAGGGGTCCTTTAGTGTACCTAAGATGAGTTACAATGAGTTACAGCCACACAGTTGTGTTATGTTCTGTCATCTGTTGCAGCTGCAAAAGGTTGTCTTCACGCCAGCCACTTCTGTTACATCATGGCACAGTCAGGATTTGGGACGTACGCAAAGAAAACTTCAAAAATAGTACTTGTCGGATCTAGCCACAAGTAAGTGTGGAAACACTGATACTGTCAAACTTGAGATATGTTTTACATATGTTCATTGTGGAAATATTGATGTGTCTTTTCTATTATGTATATGTATTAAGTACAATGAATCGTTTGTGTAAATGTGTGTATTCTATACAATGTATAGTATGACCCAGTTATGTAAGGCCCTACAACCCCTGCAGAGTTGCTTCCCTTCGTCATTCCAGGATCCACTTGTTGTGGTTCAAATATCCTATGTTCCTATATTATGGTCCTTGGTCTGTCAGCAGCCATGCTCTTTTCTCTCACCGAAAGAGTAAAACCACTGCAGTAGTCCATCACTTCAGTTCATCTTCAAAGCGACCGCCTCCGTGGTCTAATGGTAGAGCATCCGCCCGGAGAGCAGAAGGTCCGGGGTTCGATCCCCAGCCGCGTCATACCAAAAGATGTTAAAAGACGGTACTTGTTGTTACCCTGTCTGGCGCTCGGCATTAAGGGGCTAAAACAAGGACTGGTCAGCTCGGAGTCAGTATACTGTGTCTGAGTGGGGTATTCATGTTAAACTGCGGCATGGTATCTTAGTGTGCTAGCACTATAAATCGGCATCAGTCCGGACTAGTACAAGCAGTCACACGCACACACACACATACACGTGCATGCACGTCGCTATATAAGTGCAATAATCTTGGACGCGACGTTAAACCCCATTTTACCTCACCTCATCATGCTCATCTTCAAGGCCACATTCAACCCTATGAAAATCTGGAGTACTTCATCCCAATTCAGTCATGCAGCTTTTTGACACTGATGTCCTTGTTGTTAGGGATGCTGTCAATGTGCAGTCAGTTACATGGTTGATACCCTTGATACTGTTCCCTGAGTACACTCAGTTATTTGAAGACATATCCATCACGTTGTTCCAACTTCTAACTGCAAATAAAAGACATCAATTATGTACTGCATCAGGGTAAACTCTGATTCCCCTCCCTGTAACAGAATTGTTGATGTGAATGATATTGTGGATATGATCTAGTGTTTTAGGGTCAGAGGGACATTTTGTTTTATATTCTTATTTTTAGAAGTATGATGTTCTGCCTTAACAAGTCCAGATGACTGCAGGGGGCACGGGTGGCCCAGTCATCTAAGGCGCCGCGATTCGCTGTGCAGAGTTGCGTCCCTTTGGCACGCCAGAAACCTATGATTGTGGGTTGGAATCCCGGTTCGCCCCCATTATGTTTCTAGGTTTGTCAGCACCATACCCGTGCCTGTGGGTTTCACCGAAGTGGTAAACGTCTGAGACCTGCATCACTTCGGGCGTTCCTCCCACATTAAGCTGACACGCCATGATATAACTGGAATACTGTTAAAAGCGGTGTTAAACAAAACTCACTCACTCACTCACTCACTGACCAGATGATTGCAGGTTGTGATGTTTAAGATGATGATGTATGTTGCATTTATCTGAAGCAAGGCTTGTGTGTTGGCAGCTGGACATGGGAGGAATTTGCTACTAATGAGGCCATCCAGTGTACTGAGATCTACGAGTATGCTCAGTCACTAGGCAACCAGACCTTCCTACTTCCTGATTTCCAGGTAAGTTAAGTGGAGTGTTGTCTGTTGACAATGGCATTGAATGTTGCCAGTGTTGTGTGTTGTCGTGTTGTGTGTAGACTGGAGTGTAGTGTGTTGACAGGACCATGGAGAGGAGCGTTGTGTGTTGACAGGAATGTTGTGTTGACAGGAGCATGGAGAGGAGCGTTGTGTGTTGACAGGAGCATGGAGAGGTGTGTTGTGTTGACAGGAGCATGGAGAGGAGCGTTGTGTGTTGACAGGAGCCTTGTGTTGACATGAGCATGGAGAGGTGTCTTGTGTTGACAGGAATGTTGTGTTGACAGGAGCATGGAGAGGTGTGTTGTGTGTAGACTGGAGTGTAGTGTGTTGACAGGACCATTGAGAGGAGTGTTGTGTGTTGACAGGAATGTTGTGTTGACAGGAGCTTGGAGAGGAGCGTTGTGTGTTGACAGGAGCCTTGTGTTGACAGGAGCATGGAGAGGTGTGTTGTGTTGACAGGAATGTTGTGTTGACAGGAGCATGGAGAGGTGTGTTGTGTGTTGACAGGAATGTTGTGTTGACAGGAGCATGGAGAGGAGCGTTGTGTGTTGACAGGAGCATGGAGAGGAGCGTTGTGTGTTGACAGGAGCATGGAGAGGTGTGTTGTGTGTTGACAGGACCATGGTGAGGAGCGTTGTGTGTTGACAGGAGCCTTGTGTTGACAGGAGCATGGAGAGGAGCGTTGTGTGTTGATAGGAGTCTTGTGTTGACAGGAGCATGGAGAGGTGTGTTGTGTTGACAGGAATGTTGTGTTGACAGGAGCATGGAGAGGAGCATTGTGTGTTGACAGGAGCCTTGTGTTGACAGGAGCATGGAGAGGTGTGTTGTGTTGACAGGAATGTTGTTTTGACAGGAGCATGGAGAGGTGTGTTGTGTGTTGACAGGAACGTTGTGTTGACAGGAGCAATGAGAGGAGCGTTGTGTGTTGACAGGAATGTTGTGTGCTGACAGGAACCTTGTATGTTGACAGGAGCGTTGACACTAGTGTTGTGTGTTGCAGGTGTACAAGTTCCTGTATGCCAGCCGACTGGCAGAGTTTGGCTTGCTGCAGGAGGTGAGTATCGTACTGACAATTTGATGATTTCATTCAAGGTTAAAGCTGCTGCTTATATTTTCACATTAACCTGTCAAAGGTGTACACTTGATTGATATAGTATTCACGACCGTCCGTACGTATGTCCGTACGTCCCACCTGTTTGTTGCCGCGATATCTCAAGAACTAAACACTGGATTGTCTTCATATTTGGAACTATGGTGTATATACAGACTCCGCAGACACCAGTCGGTTTTGGTGACCTTGACCTCATTTTCAAGGTCACAGCAGGCAAATCTGCTTTTGGAGTTGGAAAACGGTGTTGCCGCGATATCTCAAGAACTAAACACTGGATTGTCTTCATATTTGGAACTATGGTGTATATACAGACACCGCATACACCAGTCGGTTTTGGTGACCTTGACCCCTTTTTCAAGGTCACAGCAGTCAAATCTGCTTTTGGAGTTGGAAAACGGTGTTGCCGCGATATCTCAAGAACTAAACACTGGATTGTTTTCATATTTGGAACTATGGTGTATATACAGACTCCGCAGACACCAGTTGGTTTTGGTGACCTTGACCCCATTTTCAAGGTCACAGCAGGCAAATCTGCTTTTAGAGTTAGAAAACGGTGTTGCTGAGATATCTCAAGAACTAATTGCTGGATTGTCTTCATATTTGGAATTATGGTGTATATACAGACACCGCATACACCAGTCGGTTTTGGTGACCTTGACCCCATTTTCAAGGTCACAGCAGGCAAATCTGCTTTTGGAGTTGGAAAACGGTGTTGCCGCAATATCTCAAGAACTAATCGCTGGATTGTCTTCATATTTGGTACTATGGTGTATATACTGGCGGGGGACATTTCGTCACTTTGTGACAAATACTTGTTATATCTGTACTTGAGCCTCCTTCTCTTACAACGTGTGTGAGATATGCTGTGTTCAGCAGTACACGGATTACATTTAGCAGGAGTTGTTGCTACTGTGTTACAGGCCCTGCATTACTGTGAGGTGATTGCCACCACGGTGCAGTCTGCCCCAGCGTACTTCCAGCCAGCATTTGTCAAGGTGCTGTATGAGGTGAGTGATCTCCCCGAGTCAGCCAGCATTTTTACTACTGCAAACTATGCACAAGGATTAGCTCTTCTGAGTCAACTGTTGATGATCTCAAGTTTTAGGTTATATCAAGTCCTTGTTGCGTCGAACAGTTAACATAAACATAATCCCCTCCCCAGATTCCCCCCCCCCCCCATCTTGGGTAATAATTTGTTTGTTTCTTTGTATGTTGTTTAATGCCACACTCAGCAATATTCCAGCTGTGTGACGGCAGTCTGTAATTGGTATACAATGACATGCATCAACCAAGTCAGAGAGCCTGACCACCCTATCCTGTTAGTCATCTCTTACGACAAGCATGGGTTGGTGGAGACCTATTCTAACCTGGATTCTTGGGTAATGAAACAGAGGAATACATACAGAGATGAATATTCATCGCAATATAAAATACAGACTTTTTACTAGCTGATAGTAGTTTAAAATGTTGTTTTTCCCGTGCAGTTTTCCAATCGCCTGAAGTTCTATGACCCTCAGCGTGTTCACTCTGGAGAGGACGAGGACCAAGCCTGGTTGCAGCAACTGCAGAGAGTCTGCCTCGGATACGATGTACGTGCTTCACATGTAGCATACACTGTACATACACACTGGTAGATATAGGGTGTGAGATACCATGTACATACTTCACACAAAGAATGTTCTGTACATACACACTGGTAGGGAAAGAGTGAGAGATATGATGTACATACATCACATGAAGAATGCTCTGTACATACACACTGGTAGGGAAAGAGTGAGAGATATGATGTACATACATCACACGAGGGCTGCTCTGTACATACACACTGGTAGGGAAAGAGTGAGAGATAAGATATACATACATCACACGAGGGCTGCTCTGTACATACACACTGGTAGGGAAAGAGTGAGAGATAAGATATACATACATCACACGAGGGCTGCTCTGTACATACACACTGGTAGGGAAAGAGTGAGAGATATGATGTACATACATCACACGAGGGCTGCTCTGTACATACACCACAAGATGGCTGCTCTGTACATACACACTGGTAGGGAAAGAGTGAGAGATACGATGTACGTACATCATGCGAAGGCTGCTCTGTACATACACACTGGTAGGGAAAGAGTGAGAAATACGATGTACATACATCACACGAAGGCTGCTCTGTACATACACACTGGTAGGGAAAGAGTGAGAGATACGATGTACGTACATCACAAGATGGCTGCTCTGTACATACACACTGGTAGGGAAAGAGTGAGAGATACGATGTACGTACATCACAAGATGGCTGCTCTGTACATACACACTGGTAGGGAAAGAGTGAGAGATACGATGTACGTACATCACAAGATGGCTGCTCTGTACATACACCACAAGATGGCTGCTCTGTACATACACACTGGTAGGGAAAGAGTGAGAGATACGATGTACGTACATCATGCGAAGGCTGCTCTGTACATACACACTGGTAGGGAAAGAGTGAGAAATACGATGTACGTATATCACACGAAGGCTGCTCTGTACATACACACTGGTAGGGAAAGAGTGAGAAATACGATGTACGTACATCACACGAAGGCTGCTCTGTACATACACACTGGTAGGGAAAGAGTGAGAGATACGATATACGTACATCACAAGATGGCTGCTCTGTACATACACACTGGTAGGGAAAGAGTGAGAGATACGATGTACATACATCACAAGATGGCTGCTCTGTACATACACCACAAGATGGCTGCTCTGTACATACACACTGGTAGGGAAAGAGTGAGAGATAAGATGTACATACATCACACGAGGGCTGCTCTGTACATACACACTGGTAGGAAAAGAGTGAGAGATAAGATGTACATACATCACACGAGGGCTGCTCTGTACATACACACTGGTAGGGAAAGAGTGAGAGATAAGATGTACATACATCACACGAGGGCTGCTCTGTACATACACACTGGTAGGGAAAGAGTGAGAGATATGATGTACATACATCACACGAGGGCTGCTCTGTACATACACACTGGTAGGAAAAGAGTGAGAGATAAGATGTACATACATCACACGAGGGCTGCTCTGTACATACACACTGGTAGGGAAAGAGTGAGAGATAAGATGTACATACATCACACGAGGGCTGCTCTGTACATACACACTGGTAGGGAAAGAGTGAGAGATATGATGTACATACATCACACGAGGGCTGCTCTGTACATACACACTGGTAGGAAAAGAGTGAGAGATAAGATGTACATACATCACACGAGGGCTGCTCTGTACATACACACTGGTAGGGAAAGAGTGAGAGATAAGATGTACATACATCACACGAGGGCTGCTCTGTACATACACACTGGTAGGAAAAGAGTGAGAGATATGATGTACATACATCACACGAGGGCTGCTCTGTACATACACACTGGTAGGGAAAGAGTGAGAGATAAGATGTACATACATCACACGAGGGCTGCTCTGTACATACACACTGGTAGGGAAAGAGTGAGAGATAAGATGTACATACATCACACGAGGGCTGCTCTGTACATACACACTGGTAGGAAAAGAGTGAGAGATATGATGTACATACATCACACGAGGGCTGCTCTGTACATACACACTGGTAGGAAAAGAGTGAGAGATACGATGTACGTACATCACGCGAAGGCTGCTCTGTACATACATCACACGAGGGCTGCTCTGTACATACACACTGGTAGGGAAAGAGTGAGAGATACGATGTACGTACATCACACGAAGGCTGCTCTGTACATACACACTGGTAGGGAAAGAGTGAGAGATATGATGTACATACATCACACGAGGGCTGCTCTGTACATACACACTGGTAGGAAAAGAGTGAGAGATATGATGTACGTACATCACACGAGGGCTGCTCTGTACATACACACTGGTAGGGAAAGAGTGAGAGATAAGATGTACATACATCACACGAGGGCTGCTCTGTACATACATCACACGAGGGCTGCTCTGTACATACACACTGGTAGGGAAAGAGTGAGAGATATGATGTACATACATCACACGAGGGCTGCTCTGTACATACACACTGGTAGGGAAAGAGTGAGAGATATGATGTACATACATCACACGAGGGCTGCTCTGTACATACACACTGGTAGGGAAAGAGTGAGAGATATGATGTACATACATCACACGAGGGCTGCTCTGTACATACACACTGGTAGGGAAAGAGTGAGAGATATGATGTACATACATCACACGAGGGCTGCTCTGTACATACATCACACGAGGGCTGCTCTGTACATACACACTGGTAGGGAAAGAGTGAGAGATAAGATGTACATACATCACACGAGGGCTGCTCTGTACATACACACTGGTAGGGAAAGAGTGAGAGATATGATGTACATACATCACATGAAGAATGCTCTGTACATACACACTGGTAGGGAAAGAGTGAGAGATATGATGTACATACATCACACGAGGGCTGCTCTGTACATACACACTGGTAGGGAAAGAGTGAGAGATATGATGTACATACATCACACGAGGGCTGCTCTGTACATACACACTGGTAGGGAAAGAGTGAGAGATATGATGTACGTACATCACGCGAAGGCTGCTCTGTACATACACACTGGTAGGGAAAGAGTGAGAGATACGATGTACATACATCACAAGATGGCTGCTCTGTACATACACCACAAGATGGCTGCTCTGTACATACACACTGGTAGGGAAAGAGTGAGAGATAAGATGTACATACATCACACGAGGGCTGCTCTGTACATACACACTGGTAGGAAAAGAGTGAGAGATAAGATGTACATACATCACACGAGGGCTGCTCTGTACATACACACTGGTAGGGAAAGAGTGAGAGATAAGATGTACATACATCACACGAGGGCTGCTCTGTACATACACACTGGTAGGGAAAGAGTGAGAGATAAGATGTACATACATCACACGAGGGCTGCTCTGTACATACACACTGGTAGGGAAAGAGTGAGAGATATGATGTACATACATCACACGAGGGCTGCTCTGTACATACACACTGGTAGGAAAAGAGTGAGAGATAAGATGTACATACATCACACGAGGGCTGCTCTGTACATACACACTGGTAGGGAAAGAGTGAGAGATAAGATGTACATACATCACACGAGGGCTGCTCTGTACATACACACTGGTAGGGAAAGAGTGAGAGATAAGATGTACATACATCACACGAGGGCTGCTCTGTACATACACACTGGTAGGAAAAGAGTGAGAGATATGATGTACATACATCACACGAGGGCTGCTCTGTACATACACACTGGTAGGAAAAGAGTGAGAGATAAGATGTACATACATCACACGAGGGCTGCTCTGTACATACACACTGGTAGGAAAAGAGTGAGAGATAAGATGTACATACATCACACGAGGGCTGCTCTGTACATACACACTGGTAGGGAAAGAGTGAGAGATATGATGTACATACATCACATGAAGAATGCTCTGTACATACACACTGGTAGGGAAAGAGTGAGAGATAAGATGTACATACATCACATGAAGAATGCTCTGTACATACACACTGGTAGGGAAAGAGTGAGAGATAAGATGTACATACATCACACGAGGGCTGCTCTGTACATACACACTGGTAGGAAAAGAGTGAGAGATATGATGTACATACATCACACGAGGGCTGCTCTGTACATACACACTGGTAGGAAAAGAGTGAGAGATAAGATGTACATACATCACACGAGGGCTGCTCTGTACATACACACTGGTAGGGAAAGAGTGAGAGATATGATGTACATACATCACACGAGGGCTGCTCTGTACATACACACTGGTAGGAAAAGAGTGAGAGATAAGATGTACATACATCACACGAGGGCTGCTCTGTACATACACACTGGTAGGGAAAGAGTGAGAGATATGATGTACATACATCACATGAAGAATGCTCTGTACATACACACTGGTAGGAAAAGAGTGAGAGATACGATGTACATACATCACACGAGGGCTGCTCTGTACATACACACTGGTAGGAAAAGAGTGAGAGATATGATGTACATACATCACACGAGGGCTGCTCTGTACATACACACTGGTAGGAAAAGAGTGAGAGATAAGATGTACATACATCACACGAGGGCTGCTCTGTACATACACACTGGTAGGAAAAGAGTGAGAGATATGATGTACATACATCACACGAGGGCTGCTCTGTACATACACACTGGTAGGGAAAGAGTGAGAGATATGATGTACATACATCACATGAAGAATGCTCTGTACATACACACTGGTAGGAAAAGAGTGAGAGATACGATGTACATACATCACATGAAGAATGCTCTGTACATACACACTGGTAGGGAAAGAGTGAGAGATATGATGTACATACATCACACGAGGGCTGCACTGTACATACACACTGGTAGGGAAAGAGTGAGAGATATGATGTACATACATCACATGAAGAATGCTCTGTACATACACACTGGTAGGGAAAGAGTGAGAGATATGATGTACATACATCACACGAGGGCTGCTCTGTACATACACACTGGTAGGGAAAGAGTGAGAGATATGATGTACATACATCACATGAAGAATGCTCTGTACATACACACTGGTAGGGAAAGAGTGAGAGATACGATGTACGTACATCACACGAAGGCTGCTCTGTACATACACACTGGTAGGGAAAGAGTGAGAGATAAGATATACATATATCACACGAAGGCTGCTCTGTACATACACACTGGTAGGAAAAGAGTGAGAGATACGATGTACGTACATCACACGAAGGCTGCTCTGTACATATCTTTCTGTTAAAAATGACAGTTGTTGACATGAGATTGAAGTGCTCAAAATGCCAAGTGTACAGGTCTAAATCTGGTCTTCACACACACCACATGGATACAGTGTATGACCACCATTTGTCTTGTACCCTACCATGATATTACTGAAATATTGCTGAAATGACATCAAATCATCACTTATTAGCAATTACTCAAACTTCTCATTTGAAGTTGGTATTACTCTCGTTCTTTGTTGTGTAGGACGGCTCTATCCAGCCTGTGTCAGGGAACGCTACCCCGGCCATGTTTGGGGGGACAACAGCGAGTAGTGAGAGCGGGGATGTGTACGGCGGCACGGCAGGGGGAGAGTACACAGCTCCCCAGTACAACCAGGATCCAGCCTACCAGCAGTACGGGCAGGACCAGGCCTATCAGCAGTATGGGCAAAATCAGCAACAACTAGAGTACCAGCAGGCCCAGCAGCAAGCAGGGGGGCAGCACACACAGCCATACACAGCAGAAACACACGATGAGCAGACGGCGGAACAGATGCAGCAGATGACAGAACAACAGAACCAATCTGCAGCCCAGTGGCAGAACCAGTATGGTGAGTGTCAAACTGTCAGGGGCTGTTTTAGGTATCAAAAGGACATACAAGAGACTCGTTAGTACTGTAATACCATGGCCTTGTTTCATATTTCTACATGACCTGATGGTTTCAGTGTTGGGGACCCATGAAGATAGGTCTTCAGCAACCCATGCTTGCTGTATAAGGCGTCTGTGCTTGACATTAGAGGCGACTATTGGGATCGGGTGGTCAGGCTCGCTGACTTGGTTTGATGCATGTCATCGTATCCCAATTGCGTAGATTGATGCTGATAATGTTAATCACTGGATTGTCTGGTCCAGACTCGATTATTTACAGACCGCCGTCATATAGCTGGAATATTGCTGAGTGCGGCGTTAAATAACAAACAAACATACAAAATTCAGTGTTGCGTGTTGTACTGTAGCCTGTGTTTCTGTCTGCTCATGTTCTTCCTTGTGGGGTTCTTATGCAGAATGGGTTCCTAGCAACCTATTCCAAACACTTGTGAGTCACTAGCCTGAAATTGTATTGAACTTTGACTTTGGACAATCTCCTTGTGGAGGTTCTTGGCCACTGTATTGTTGTGTTGTGATGAGACTTGTTCCTGTGTGACACAGTTGTGTGGTGATGAAACTCGATCCTTTTGTGTGACAAAGTTGTGTAGTGATGAGACTTGATCCCCTGTGTGACACAGTTGTGTGATGATGAGACTTGATCCCCTTTGTGACACAGTTGTGTGGTGATGAGACTTGTTCCTGTGTGACACAGTTGTGTGGTGATGAGACTTGATCCCCTGTGTGACACAGTTGTGTAGTGATGAGACTTGATCCCCTGTGTGACACAGTTGTGTGATGATGAGACTTGATCCCCTGTGTGACACAGTTGTGTGGTGATGAGACTTGTTCCTGTGTGACACAGTTGTGTGGTGATGAGACTCGATCCTTTTGTGCGACAAAGTTGTGTAGTGATGAGACTTGATCCCCTGTGTGTGACACAGTTGTGTAGTGATGAGACTTGATCCCCTGTGTGACACAGTTGTGTAGTGATGAGACTTGATCCCCTGTGTGACACAGTTGTGTAGTGATGAGACTTGATCCCCTGTGTGACACAGTTGTGTAGTGATGAGACTTGATCCCCTGTGTGTGACACAGTTGTGTAGTGATGAGACTTGATCCCCTGTGTGTGACACAGTTGTGTAGTGATGAGACTTGATCCCCTGTGTGACACAGTTGTGTCGTGATGAGACTTGATCCCCTGTGTGACACAGTTGTGTCGTGATGAGACTTGATCCCCTGTGTGACACAGTTGTGTAGTGATGAGACTTGATCCCCTGTGTGACACAGTTGTGTAGTGATGAGACTTGATCCCCTGTGTGTGACACAGTTGTGTAGTGATGAGACTTGATCCCCTGTGTGTGACACAGTTGTGTAGTGATGAGACTTGATCCCCTGTGTGACACAGTTGTGTAGTGATGAGACTTGATCCCCTGTGTGACACAGTTGTGTCGTGATGAGACTTGATCCCCTGTGTGACACAGTTGTGTAGTGATGAGACTTGATCCCCTGTGTGACACAGTTGTGTAGTGATGAGACTTGATCCCCTGTGTGACACAGTTGTACATGTTGCTGTATTCAGGTTACAACTACGGATATCAGACTGGGGAACAGCAGACTGGAGCCAATTCAGCCAATCAGAACACTGGTTACAATGCTGTTCAGCAGACTGCCACAGAGACAGCCAATCAGAACACTGGTTACAATACAGTACAGCAGACAGGTGAGATGATTGGGAGAAGCAGATTACCTGCTGTAGCACGTGAACCAATGGGCAGACGATGAGAAGTCTGAGTTGCCAAATGTTAGATATCTGTAATCAGGATTTTCATGGAAAATCGACAGCCAATCAGAGTACAGCTTACAATGTGTCATGTAATTTTAGACAGCCACTCATACTACAGCTTGCAAAGTGTGGTGCAGTTTCAGACAGCCAATCATAATACAGCTTGCAATGTGTGGTGCAGTTTCAGACAGCCAATCATAATACAGCTTGCAATGTGTGGTGCAGTTTGAGGCAGCCAATCATACTACAGCTTGCAATGTGTGGTGCAGTTTGAGGCAGCCAGTCATTATGCAATGCATTTTGGGATTGCAGATGGCCAGACCAGCCAGATGTATGGGGGCCAGGTTTACAACCAGCAATATAACCAGGGTTTCGGCCAGGACTACACTGGGTCTGACCGCCTGGCGTCGCAGCGTGGTAGTGTAGTCTCCGCACACAGCGTTGATACAGAGGGGGATCACACTGACGGGGGACAAGACATGCCTGCTGCGCCCTCTTCATCCTTTGACTACTTCGGTGCAGCCACGCAGGTAGGTGTTGCTGTCTGCAGGGCTGTAGGCTTTCACCTTAACATCCAAGAGTGTGTACTTTCCAGGGAGTTTTTGTGTGTTTTTTTATGTTTTTCTTTTATTAACATCGAAACTTCCGAATCGAGGTGGTAAAGAAATGAGACCTCAATCTGTTTAGAAAGCTGACATCTGATTAGCTAAAGTACTGATTCATCCTTCATTTATATTGGTAAAGATCTGATATGAATGAGATTTGGCCTGCAACCCACAGTAAGTGTGCATGCAGAGATGTAAGTCAAAATACAAAATACAGTGAAACTTATTCTTGGTGAACCACAGCAGCATCATAAAAGTAAACTCTTGAGCACATTGAACAGACCCATGAAGATCCGAGTTAGACTATGCTTGGCATAAAAGGAGATTATGGTTGTCATAAGAGACGACTAACGGGAGCGGGTGGTCAGGTTTGCTGACTTGCTTGATGCATGTCATCGTATCCCAATGGCGTGGATCGATGCTGATGATGTCAATCACTGGATTGTCTGGTCCAGACTTATTAATAGTCGGTCGTCTTATAGCTGGAATATTGCTAAGACATTGCTAACAAACAAACAAACAAGCAACATTAAACCACCTCAAGGGTCGGTCGGGTAGCCTAGTGGTTAAAGCGTTCGCTCGTCACGCCGAAGACCCGGGTTCGATTCCCGACATGAGTACAATGTATTAAGCCCATTTTGTTTGTGTCCCCCGCCGTGATATTGCTAGAATATTGCTAAAAGCGGCGTAAAACCATACTCACTCACTCACTAAACCACCTCAATGTCTCTTGGCGTCTAAATGCCACATTTACGTCCCTTTGTCATGCCGACCATCGTGGGTTCGAATCCAAGATTTGCACTGTTTCCAGCTTATTACTGTTGATAGATCCATGTGCAAGAAGGACAGGTTAAAAGACTGTAGTCTCCTTTCTATTCCAGACAAAGATTGTGGCTCCCCCGTCACGGTTCCGCACGACGTCAACGAGTAGTTCCACGGGTGGAGGCCGGCAGCGCACAGTGTCTGAGAGCAGCACTGGTAGTGTGAAGGCTGCGTCATCGTCCATGAAGAAGTCGGCGACTGACAGCAATGTCAAGAAAAACACTGCACTGCTCGGGAAGAAGGAACAAGTGAGTAAACAGATCTTGTCAGGACACAGATATGAGTTGACTGACACTGGCAGGACACAGACATTAGTTGACTGACACAGGCAGGACACAGACATTAGTTGACTGACACAGGCAGGACACAGATATGAGTTGACTGACACAGGCAGGACACAGACATTAGTTGACTGACACAGGCAGGACACAGATATGAGTTGACTGACACAGGCAGGACACTAGCATTAGTTGACTGACACTGGCAGGACACAGACATTAGTTGACTGACACTGGCTGGACACTAACATTAGTTGACTGACACAGGCAGGACACAGATATGAGTTGACTGACACAGGCAGGACACAGATATGAGTTGACTGACACAGGCAGGACACAGACATTAGTTGACTGACACTGGCTGGACACTAACATTAGTTTACTGACACAGGCAGGACACAGACATTAGTTGACTGACACAGGCAGGACACAGATATGAGTTGACTGACACAGGCAGGACACTAGCATTAGTTGACTGACACAGGCAGGACACTAGCATTAGTTGACTGACACAGCCAGGACACAGACCTTAGTTGACTGACACTGGTTGGACACTAACATTAGCTGACCGATGCTATCAGGTCACACACATAAAGCTCTCACATACCATTATTGGTTGTTTCTTGTTTAGCATCACACTTAGCAATGATCCAGCTAATTAAAGATAGCCTATAAATAATCATGTCTTGACTGGAATGTCCAGAGATGTAGATCATGAGCATCAATCTGTGCAATTGGGATATGATGACAAATAGCAATCAAGCAACTGAGACTGATCGTACGACAAGCATACGTTGATGTTGCTGGGGATCTATATTCTTCTTGCATCCCGATGGGTTGTTATAGATAGTCATAGAATTGTAATGGGTCAACTGTATTGTGGCCTTCACCTCGATTCACTACAGTTGCTACCTGTTCACCCAGAGGGTGGCTTGTGTGTGCTGTGTGAGTGAAGGTTTTTCAAATAAACACTTCTTCTTGTGAGAGATAGTAATAGGAATCTAAATACATGTTGGCCATTGATGGATTTGATTGGAATAGTTGGCCTTTAAACAGTATTGTATATATTAGATGTAGGTGTTCCTGAACTCTTCAGGAGTGAAGGAAGATATAAGGAGTGTTGGATGAAATGTTGGCATGTTTCTGTTGCAGCCCAAGAAGAGCAGCGGAGGATGGTTTGGTGGTTGGTTCAATAAACCCAAAAATAAAGATATGCACTTGCCAAAGGATGACAAGCCGGCGGTAGGTTGTCTCATATAGTTGAGTGTATGCAAATGGTTGAGTGTATGTCACATGGTTAAGTGTATGTCATATGGTTGATTGTATGTCACATGGTCGAGTGTATGTCACATGGTTGATTGTATGTCACATGGTTGAGTAGACACCCCTGGTTGAGTGGATACCCCCTGGTTGAGTGGATACCACATGGTTGAGTGGATATCCCATAGTTGAGTGGATACCCCATGGTTGAGTGGATACCCCGTGGTTGAGTGGATACCCCATGGTTGAGTGGATGCCCCATGGTTGAGTGGATGCCCCTGGTTGAGTGGATGCCCATGGTTGAGTGGATACCCCATGGTTGAGTGGATGCCCATGGTTGAGTGGATACCCCATGGTTGAGTGGATACCCCATGGTTGAGTGGATACCCCATGGTTGAGTGGATACCCCATGGTTGAGTGGATGCCCATGGTTGAGTGGATACCCCATGGTTGAGTGGATACCCCATGGTTGAGTGGATACCCCATGGTTGAGTGGATAACCCTTGTTGAGTGGATACCCCATGGTTGAGTGGATACCCTGGTTGAGTGGATACCCCATGGTTGAGTGGATGCCCCATGGTTGAGTGGATAACCCTTGTTGAGTGGATACCCCATGGTTGAGTGGATACCCTGGTTGAGTGGATACCCTGGTTGAGTGGATAACCCTGGTTGAGTGGATACCCCATGGTTGAGTGGATACCCCTGGTTGAGTGTAGGCACGTTGTTCAGTATATGCACTTCCTGTCAAAACAGTGAGGCAGGTAGAAATGAATTTGACCTATCCCAACAGCCATGTGACAGTGTGGAGGCAGCTATTTGAGACTGTATCAAATAATGTCTAATGTGACCTTGTCTTTGCAGATTGTTTGGGATGCGACCAACAAGAAGTGGATTAACACAGATGGCGAAGAAGAAGATGAGAAGCCAGCTCTCCCACCCCCCAAAGACACAGAGTTGATGGGTAAGTACATGCACTGTTTGATGGGCGTGTGGGTATGTTATCTGTGGATGGGTGTGGGTTTGTTGGGTTGGGGTGAGCGGTTGCCAAGAGACACTGAGTTAATGGGTGTGTACATGTTAAAGGAGGGTGTGGGTGTGTACAATCTGTCCTTGAGGACTGTTAAACACAGAGGAAGACACCCTGAGTCCACAAAGCCACACTAATGTAGCAACTGTTGTAGGGCTGGGACGGGTAACTCGGGTACCCGGGTCCGGTGGGTACTGAGTAGGTCCTGGGTACAAACAGGACTACCTAGACCCGTGGTTAATCACGTGATATATTGTTTAATGATAAAAATTATCAAGAACTCTATGGTTACACTACAAGTCACCAATGTTCGCATTTCCTTCTGACTATGCACCCATTCCATCTGATTTTTCATATGGTTGAATAAAGATATAAGTTAATTCGCGTTCAGTGTATGAATGACCAGATTGTTTAATACATGTATCTAAATACATTTTGCCAGGGCTATGCTTATATGTTCCCAATCGGATATGTTGAGACCTCTCCTGAGACCAACACTGGGTACCCGGGTAGGGTCGGGTAATAGAGGGGTGGGTACCCGGGTAGTAAATTTGGACTCGTCCCAGCCCTAAACTGTAGCTACACCTATCCAGAGTATATACATATATGCTAGAGAAGCCCACGTTGACACATATATCTCTGCTGTAGGTAACTCTACTGGCCCACCATCTGCCGCTCCTGCTGCGTCCCTCACTGCAGCAGGGCCGACATCGGCTGGTGCCCCACCCTCCGGCAACCGCTTCTCTCGCAACAAAGGACGAGGTAAGGCCTGCATTTTTAACAGTTTTCAGTAACCATGGTTATAGTGTTGTACAGTGTTCAGTTACCATGGTTGCAGTGTTCAGCACAACATTCATAGGTATGTAGAGCTGTCACTGATAAATATACATTGTGGCTCCCAATGCTATATTGTTGAACATGACTAGAATGATTATACACCTTGAAAATATTTGCCAAATACCAATGTAAATTATTAAACTATTTTGTCAACAATGGTACTACTATTAGAAAGTTTCAGCAATACAATTTAGGTCCGTGAACAGTTGTGTTTAGGAATTCAGTCATTTTAATATAGCATTAACACAATGACAGCCTACAGTAGGCATGTCTCATTAACACATCACTGACAACCTACAGTAGGCCTGTCTCATTAACACATCACTGACAACCTACAGTAGGCATGTCTCATTAACACATCACTGACAACCTACAGTAGGAATGTCTCATTAACACATCACTGACAACCTACAGTAGGCCTGTCTCATTAACACATCACTGACAACCTACAGTAGGCATGTCTCATTAACACATCACTGACAACCTACAGTAGGCATGTCTCATTAACACATCACTGACAACCTACAGTAGGCATGTCTCATTAACACTGTACTGACAACCTACAGTAGGCCTGTCTCATTAACACATCACTGACAACCTAGAGTAGGCATGTCTCATTAACACATCACTGACAACCTACAGTAGGCCTGTCTCATTAACACATCACTGACCGCCTACAGTAGGCATGTCTCATTAACACAGTACTGACAACCTACAGTAGGCATGTCTCATTAACACAGTGAAGACAACCCCACAGAAGGCATGTCTCATTAACAAAGTGAAGACAACCCCACAGTAGGCATGTCTCATTAAGACAGTGAAGACAAACCCACAGTAGGCATGTCTCATTAACACAGTGAAGAGAACCCCACAGTAGGCATGTCTCATTAACACAGTGAAGAGAACCCCACAGTAGGCATGTCTCATTAACACAGCACTGACAACCTACAGTAGGCATGTCTCATTAACACAGTGAAGACAAACCCACAGTAGGCATGTCTCATTAACACAGTGAAGACAACCCCACAGTAGGCATGTCTCATTAACACAGTGAAGAGAACCCCACAGTAGGCATGTCTCATTAACACAGTGAAGAGAACCCCACAGTAGGCCTGTCTCATTAACACATCACTGACAACCTACAGTAGGCATGTCTCATTAACACATCACTGACAACCTACAGTAGGCATGTCTCATTAACACATCACTGACAACCTACAGTAGGCATGTCTCATTAACACTGTACTGACAACCTACAGTAGGCCTGTCTCATTAACACATCACTGACAACCTAGAGTAGGCATGTCTCATTAACACATCACTGACAACCTACAGTAGGCCTGTCTCATTAACACTTCACTGACCGCCTACAGTAGGCATGTCTCATTAACACAGTACTGACAACCTACAGTAGGCATGTCTCATTAACACAGTGAAGACAACCCCACAGAAGGCATGTCTCATTAACAAAGTGAAGACAACCCCACAGTAGGCATGTCTCATTAAGACAGTGAAGACAAACCCACAGTAGGCATGTCTCATTAACACAGTGAAGACAACCCCACAGTAGGCATGTCTCATTAACACAGTGAAGACAACCCCACAGTAGGCATGTCTCATTAACACAGTGAAGACAACCCCACAGTAGGCATGTCTCATTAACACATCACTGACAACCTACAGTAGGCATGTCTCATTAACACAGTGAAGACAACCCCACAGAAGGCATGTCTCATTAACAAAGTGAAGACAACCCCACAGTAGGCATGTCTCATTAAGACAGTGAAGACAAACCCACAGTAGGCATGTCTCATTTTAACACAGTGAAGACAACCCCACAGTAGGCATGTCTCATTAACACAGTGAAGAGAACCCCACAGTAGGCATGTCTCATTAACACAGTGAAGAGAACCCCACAGTAGGCATGTCTCATTAACACAGCACTGACAACCTACAGTAGGCATGTCTCATTAACACAGTGAAGACAAACCCACAGTAGGCATGTCTCATTAACACAGTGAAGACAACCCCACAGTAGGCATGTCTCATTAACACAGTGAAGAGAACCCCACAGTAGGCATGTCTCATTAACACAGTGAAGAGAACCCCACAGTAGGCATGTCTCATTAACACATCACTGACAACCTACAGTAGGCATGTCTCATTAACACAGTGAAGACAACCCCACAGTAGGCATGTCTCATTAACCCCTTACTAACTGTTGAACTCATTGTTTTGTCTTTAGGTGACCTAGGTAAGTTGACAGCCCCAAGAAGACAGTGAGGGACTAGGCAGGGTTTGGAGGAACGACTAGTGCACTTACATATTTAGTATACAAGTAGTTTTACCAGTCAAGGAGTGGTTTTGTGAATATTTGTTTTAAAAGTATACATGCTTTACGGGAAGCCTAAACTTTATATTTCATTATTTTCTTCTATGTATAAGATTAACATATGAGAACATAAGAAGAAAACATTAATTTATTGAAACGAGAACAAAGTACTTAACCCTGTTAAGGATCAGTTTAGATTCTTATTTTGCAGATCTTTTAAGTCAGTACCTTGCAAATTAAAAAAATTAAGCTCACCTTAATTTCATAAATGATTGTCCATAGAACAAGGAAATGAATTGTACCAAACAACGGTACTTGAGTAATGAAATAGGTTCCTCTTGTAACAGCAAACAGTGAATGCATAGAATCACTTGCCGACAGTCATTAGTTAACAGTCGTACAGTTCCCAACCCTACTGGTCCCTGTAGATAGGACCTGAGCCTGGTGTTAGTTCTCCCGATTCTGTCTGACACCTGTAGATAGTTGCTGCTCCTTCTTGCCTCTGTCTTACACTGACATGCTTGACATCCTTTATACAACTTTTACCCAGACTTCCAGGGCTGAATATCACTATCACCAACAGTTAACTGTCTCCATGGTGACTCTGGTTCTTTGTGAAGGTGTTGGTGGCAGGACCTTGTCCCTTTCATGTTGTCTACTGTGTGATGTACGGCACACTGGATGTATACTCATTTGAGTAAGTTTCTTCTGGAATGTCTGGGGGCCCAGGTGGCCCAGTCATCTAAGGCACAATAATTCGCTGTGCAGAGTTGCATCCCTTGGGCACGCCAGAAACCTATGATTGTGGGTTCAAATCCTGATCGTCCTGATTATGTTTCTTGGTTTATCAGCACCATGCTTTTGGACGTGGGTTTCACCAAAGTGGTATATGTCTCAGACCTGCATCACTTTGGGCTTTCCTCCCACATCAAGCTGACACGCTGTGATATAACTGGGCTACAGCTTTAAACCCAACTCACTCAATCACTCACTCACTCTAGAATGTCATCCTGGTTTGAATAGGTACCCAGGGACCATTGCAGGTTATTCAGATCGGATGGACAGGCTCTGTGACCTGATTGCTGTCATTATGTCTCTATGGTGTGGTTCTTTGCCCGTGCTTTCAGTCACAGGTTTGTCTGATCCAGATGCTTTTGTTCAGGTCGCTGTGATGTAGCTGAGACATTGCTGACATTCACTCACTCACTCTTCACTCTTCACTCTGTCATGTGTAGTTTGTTTTGAAGCAGTGATTCAATGAAGTACCTGTACATCGTGATGCCAGTGTCATACGTAGGGTTCTGTATTAAACCAATACAATACCTGTATATACAAGAAAGAAACGTTTCAGTGTTTTATAATGATTTGTAAATACTTTTTGATGAGGAAAGAGACCTTAATTTCAAATTTTTACAAATAAGACCACACAGTCATTCTCACTGTCTCTCCTCCTACTTCAGGTGCCCGGAACCAGTACGTGGATGTCCTGAGCAACAAGACGACGCCAGCAGCGACTGTACCAAGCACCCTCTTCAATGTGATGCCGACGGCTGCGCCGACCACTAACACATCAGCGCAGATCTTCAACCCCACAGGCAGTGGTAGGTGACACTAGAGGGGTGGACATCAAGAGGAGCTGCTATGTATTCAGGGGTTAACTGGGTCTTTCTATTTACTTGGAGACTTTCAGCTTTAGTTTTATTCCCAGGATGAAAATTGGGGATGCAGGTTGACCACTGTGGTCTTATTGATGTGTTGACGTTGGTGATGTGTGCAGCACTTCACTGAATTTATCTTAGGATGCTATTCATTGATGGGGATACCAGTGTTGAAACAGATATATGATTTCGTGTCCCATAGAACTGCATAATACCTGTGCCCATTCTCAAGTTTTATGCATTTAGGACACAGTGTTATGTGTCTGGTAAAACCCTCTTCTATCCCAGAGGACCATGCTTGATAACAAACTGTTGGAGGCCGAGGAGGCTGTCTCTGAGTGTAATAGTAGTGTCTTGTTTATTCAAATATTGTCAATCAATCTCTGGGTATTCTTCGGAAACAACATGATTTCTTGCATGCTACAACGAGTGTTCACTCTTTTTTCCATCCTAATATGGGATGGTGATTTAGGAAAACAAAAAATGTAGCTAGTAGAATGTGTATGTTTTAATCATCAGCAAGATCACCTACTCCAACAATATGTTTCTTTCTTCAGTCTCAACTGAATCTAGTCAACCAGCAGCACCATCTGGTGGTGAGAGTGGCCAGAGCAATCTTCTGGAGCCTCCATCAGGGGAGGTAAGTCTGTCGCTAACAATTAGTTTGGCCTCAAGTTGGTCAGTTCTTTAATTCTGGTTACAACTGACCCTGCATGTATTGTTAATATATTACCTTTGACCCAATGCAGGTTGATCTAGTCTGAGGCATTACTCAGTTTAACAGTGGTACTGTTTCACTATTACAATCTTATTTGCAGCGTTAGAAATTGGCACAAGTCCTATAGTCCTTGCCAAACTGCACAATAGTTAAGGTATCATAAGGACTCGTCGCAATTAGCCCTTTAAAGGGTTTTGCTATGTATTATCATATTAAGGACTAGTGGACAAAAACTGTTAGTTTCTAGCGCTGTATTTGTCTGTTGGACTTGCACCTCAGGGTTGAACACAGCCCTGACTGGTGGCTCCTGGTGTGTTGGACTTGCACCTCAGGGTTGAACACAGCCTTGACTTGTGGCTCCTGGTGTGTTGGACTTGCACCTCAGGGTTGAACACAGCCTTGACTGGTGGCTCCTGGTGTGTTGGACTTGCACCTCAGGGTTGAACACAGCCTTGACTTGTGGCTCCTGGTGTGTTGGACTTGCACCTCAGGGTTGAACACAGCCTTGACTGGTGGCTCCTGGTGTGTTGGACTTGCACCTCAGGGTTGAACACAGCCTTGACTTGTGGCTCCTGGTGTGTTGGACTTGCACCTCAGGGTTGAACACAGCCTTGACTTGTGGCTCCTGGTGTGTTGGACTTGCACCTCAGGGTTGAACACAGCCTTGACTTGTGGCTCCTGGTGTGTTGGACTTGCACCTCATTGTTGAACTCAGCCTTGACTTGTGGCTCCTGGTGTGTTGGACTTGCACCTCAGGGTTGAACACAGCCTTGACGTGTGGCTCCTGGTGTGTTGGACTTGCACCTCAGGGTTGAACACAGCCCTGACTTGTGGCTCCTGGTGTGTTGGACTTGCACCTCAGGGTTGAACACAGCCCTGACTTGTGGCTCCTGGTGTGTTGGACTTGCACCTCAGGGTTGAACACAGCCTTGACTTGTGGCTCCTGGTGTGTTGGACTTGCACCTCAGGGTTGAACTCAGCCTTGACTTGTGGCTCCTGGTGTGTTGGACTTGCACCTCAGGGTTGAACACAGCCTTGATGTGTGGCTCCTGGTGTGTTGGACTTGCACCTCAGGGTTGAACACAGCCCTGACTTGTGGCTCCTTGTGTGTTGGACTTGCACCTCAGGGTTGAACACAGCCTTGACTTGTGGCTCCTGGTGTGTTGGACTTGCACCTCAGGGTTGAACACAGCCCTGACTTGTGGCTCCTGGTGTGTTGGACTTGCACCTCAGGGTTGAACACAGCCTTGACTTGTGGCTCCTGGTGTGTTGGACTTGCACCTCAGGGTTGAACACAGCCCTGACTTGTGGCTCCTTGTGTGTTGGACTTGCACCTCAGGGTTGAACACAGCCCTGACTTGTGGCTCCTTGTGTGTTGGACTTGCACCTCAGGGTTGAACACAGCCTTGACTTGTGGCTCCTGGTGTGTTGGACTTGCACCTCAGGGTTGAACTCAGCCCTGACTTGTGGCTCCTGGTGTGTTGGACTTGCACCTCAGGGTTGAACACAGCCTTGACTTGTGGCTCCTGGTGTGTTGGACTTGCACCTCATTGTTGAACTCAGCCTTGACTTGTGGCTCCTGGTGTGTTGGACTTGCACCTCAGGGTTGAACACAGCCTTGACGTGCAGTTCCTTCCTGTAACAGTAGGAGTCAGAGGCCTCCTTACTGATAGAGGTGGAGGAGAACGTGTATGTATACCTTCAGATGAGGGTATATCAGAGCGGAACACAGAACCCTTTGCTGGCCAGAAGATGTAACATGGGGAATGGTTGCCATGGCTAAGGAGTATTGTAAGAACCTTGCTCTCTGTCCTGGATGAATGGTCATACTGGCAGAGCGGATTTCTCTGTTATGTAACAAGTGACTGGCTGCCTTTATGAAGCTGTGATATTGCTGATAAGGCATAAAACACTGACATCGTTCAGTCACTCGGAGAGAAGTATGATGCTGTACACATCAAGTACAGCCACATCCTGTTTCCTAGCACCCCTTTATAGTGGCAACTTATTCTGTTGTTCCCTCCTGCAGCCCCAGCAGCATCACTACAACTACAACAACAATGGTCACAGCGTCACCGACAGCCAAGTAATCACCAACTTTTTCCTTGTAGGACACTTGTTTTGTTAGAATCTACAGATTCTAGTCTGTGGCCCCACCCCAAACCCAGCAGTACAAGCCCTAGTCTGTAGCCCCACCCCCAAACCCAGCACTACAAGCCCTAGTCTGTTGCCCCACCCCAAAACCCAGCACTACAAGCCCCAGTCTGTTGCCCCACCCTCAAACCCAGCACTACAAGCTCTAGTCTGTTGCCCCACCCCCAAACCCAGCACTACAAGCTCTAGTCTGTTGCCCCACCCCCATACCCAGCAGTACAAGCCCCAGTCTGTTGCCCCACCCCCAAACCCAGCATTACAAGCCCCAGTCTGTTGCCCCACCCCCAAACCCAGCGTTACAAGCCCTAGTCTGTTACCCCACCCCCATACCCAGCAGTACAAGCTCTAGTCTGTTACCCCACTCCAAACCAACTATTACAAGCCTGAGTCTGTTGCCCCACCCCCAAACCCAGCACTACAAGCCCAAGTCTGTTGCCCCACCCCAAAACCCAGCACTACAAGCCCCAGTCTGTTGCCCCTTCCCAAACCCTGCACTATACTGCAGGCCTCAATATGATGTTCCACCCAAATTTCAGCACTACAGACCCCGGTCTGCCCCATCCTAAACCTAACACTACACTTCAGACCAACCCCAAACTTTACAACCCACTGTGATATGATACTGAGCCCCTTGAATATCTTGTTAGTACTTGTTTCTAGTCTCTTGAGTTTTCAGATCGGTTGTCGTCATCTTAAAATAGACATTATGTTGGTTCAGTCAACTCTGTTCTTTTGTTCTGTACGTCAGATCCAGGTAGAAATCATTTTCATTTTCATCCATTTTCATTTTGTGTTGTATTTGCCTTGTCCAGGGTCTGGTCAGGGGAGAACATGCATGTGGGATTTCCTTCTGGCAGCTGTCACCTCACACCACTTCTGTCTAGATATCATTGTGCATCCTTGTCATAGAGTGAGATCTATGAGTATTAAGAGCACAGCAGTGAGATCTATGAGTGTTGGGGGCACAGCAGTGAGATCAATGTGTCTTGGGGGCACAGTAGTGAGATCTATGTGTATGGAGGTCACAGCAGTGAGATCTATGTGTATTGGGGGCACAGCAGTGAGACCAATGTGTATTGAGGGCACAGTAGTGAGATCTATGTGTAATGACTGCACAGCAGTGAGGTCTATGTGTATTTGGGGCACAGTAGTGAGATCTATGTGTATTGGGGGCACAGTAGTGAGATCAATGTGTAATGACTGCACAGCAGTGAGATCTATGTGTATTTGGGGCACAGTAGTGAGATCTATGTGTATTGGGGGCACAGTAGTGAGATCAATGTGTAATGACTGCACAGCAGTGAGATCTATGAGTTTGGGGGGCACAGCATTGAGATCAATGCGTATTGAGGGCACAGTTGTGAGATCAATGCGTATTGGGGCCACAGCAGTGAGATCAATGCGTATTGAGGGCACAGTAATGAGATCTTTGTGTATTGAGGGCACAGTAGTGAGATCTTTGTGTATTGTGGGCACAGCATTGAGATCTATGGGTATTGTGGGCACAGCAGTGAGATCTATGTGTATTGGGGGCACAGCAGTGAGATCATTGTGCAGATTTTCTGCTTGTCAAGGGTAATGCCAGATGTAAAATGTCATTGAAGAATGGTTCATCACACTGCAGGATGTTGTTGTATTAACTACATGTATTCTGTGACTGGTTGATGACTCATTGTAGATCTTCTTGTTACTTGAATAAGGTGATACTTATTCCTTGGAAACAACCACAGCTGAATTTTTACAAAATGAATCACACAAGCAGACCTTATAGTGGTGCCTGGTGACATCCCCTGTGTAGTGACAGAAACACTTCATAAGAGTCTTTGACTTGAGGTAGCCACCAAGTATTTAGGTTAAAAATATGAAAAGGAAGAGAATATATGGATGTCAACTTCTTTATTATGAGGAACACAACGTTTTGGAGTATATCAATTCACCTGATCAAGGAGTAAGCATATACTCCGAAATGTTGTGTTCCTCATAATAAAGAAGTTGACATCCATATACTCTCTTCCTTGTGTGTATCACTTCTAAATGCCTTTTCAAAGACCTAAAAATATGATGCCTAACGTAAAACTCATAATGAATGGTGCCAAGCCTAGAAGCTGCCATGACGTCTAGAAGTGACAGCTGCCAAACTCCCTTGCCTCAATCATCTTCATTTCATGCTGTGTTGTTTTGCTCAGTTGTTTGCATGCCTTTGTTCCGTGATTAGATGATGCTTTCCTAGTTGTTGAGTTTTTGGCATTTTGTTGGTTTCAATGTTTTGTAATCTTTAAAATGGCAGGATAGGCAGGTAAATTATAATGGATGAGGTGACCATTTTGTAATCAGTGAAAGAAACATTGATATAAATAAGAAAATTAAACCTGTTTTATGCTTGTTGGTAGGCATTGTCAGACTGCATGTCTCTTGAACATGAATTACTAATCCATAAAATCAAGAGGAAGTTTGTAATCATAACCTGTTGGAACTCAAATTGGTATTTGTAGTGTAGTGCTTATGTAACTATGGGAGGTTTTCTTGCAGTTGTCGCGATCAAGTTCAATGAGTTCTCTCTCGCGGGAAGTCCAGCAGTTTACGACCCAGGTAATATGTCCGCCAACTGGCTGACTGTGTTGTACGCCTCGTATCACACACTGTGTCGTAGTAGTCATCTGTAAACACTGGTTACTAACAACTTGTACTACTCTCCTACTGACCAGACTATAGCGTCTTGTATACTGCCACTGTGTATAACTATATACATGTAGCTACACTTTGCTGCTCTGATGGAATGAAATTTGAAGCAGGATATTTGATGATTTGATATTTAGTCATATTGAAGAAAAACCTTTTCCAACAATTAATCAAGCTTTCTAGAAAATGAGCTGGACAATAGCTAGTGCCTAAAAATAAATTAACTGTGAATTGTTTTAAACGGATAAAAGCTGAAATATTTGTTGTATGAAGGGGGATAACTCTTTAAGCATTACTGATCAGTGAAGCTTGTTATGGCCACTGAGCATGCCAAGGTATAAGACTAACCTGTAACAGGCTTTTGTTACCAACTAAGGTTTGCCTGCTATGGAGTACACACTCTAGATTCACAACCGAGGCAGTGTTAAGTGTTGGATATTATGAAGTGAGATATATTGAAATGTATCGAAATGTTACAGTAAGTTTGGTTATTTACATAATTTCTGAGTTTAAAAGGACTTTTACATGAGTCCATTGCCTAATTTCAGTAACCTTTTAAATTCATGTCATTAAAAACAGATATAAAATTCTTTCAAAAAGATGCAAAGGTTTGGAATTTTTTTTTGAAACGAATACTAAGCCTAATATACCATTCTGGTGAATATGATTAATCAGATGTATGAGGTATATGAGTTGTGTACTCCCCAGGGAGCTGAGAATGACACTTGAAAGCACAGTGATCATTTGATTTGGGTAATAATGATTACCGTATTTGACATAATAAGCGCCCAGGGCGCTCTCAAAATTAGAAATAGGGGGCTCTTATTGGTAACTCCGTAGTAAAAAGTGTTTTGTTCTTGTCCGGTTATTTAAACGCGTTTTGGGGGCCTAAATATGTTTGTATCCTAAATGTGTTTGAAATACCATATTCGATATAATAAGCGCCCAGGGCGCTCTCAAAATTAGAAATGGGGGGGGGGCTCTAGATCTTATTAGAATATTATTTTGGTGAAAAAGAACAGAGTTCAAAGAGCGTAAATTTCGGGGTTTATGCTGAAATGTTTATAAACGACAGATATATTTTTCCAGAATTTAATTGCCCATAATTAAGGGTGTATATAACAAACGTATTATGCACGAATAAATAGCCTTTTGTACATTTATCAATCGGAAGGGATGCTGATTAGGATTATTCACTAGCCAGTATATTAACAAATATAGCCGTGGGCGCTTATTAGAGCGGGGCGCTTATTACGTCGAATACAGTATATGATTTTAATGAGCATACCAGCATTTTTATTATTATTATTATTATTATTATTATTATTATTATTATTATTATGGCCACGGTAGACTGTGATTTGGCATCTCCAGACTTAAGGTGCACTTGGTGTGTTGATCTTGTGTGGAACAAAAGCCTGTGGTTTGTTTGAGGATGTGCAGGAGTATGGAGTTTCATCCTTTCAGAATCCAGCCTGTACCTGTCTCTGTATCTGATTACAGCATCTGTAGCATCCCTGTCTGTGTCTCTATATGTGTAATCACTAACACCAGACACTGCTTGTGAGGATGTTTGTGCGGTCGTTGTAGCTGCCAGTCCAGCATACTGCATGTTTTGCCATAACTGTCATCATCTCTCCGGTGTGTGTGCTTGCGTTTACCAGCATTATACCTTCAAGTCTACAGATTTGCATCCAACAGCTCTCAGAATGTATGTCGATATGTCCTCACATTGTTGATACAATTATGTGTATAACAGGTATGTAATCGGTATGTATCCAAACTGCGTGGATCGATGCTCATGATGTCAATCACTGGATTGTCTGGTCCAGACTCGATTATTTGCAGACCGCCGTCATATAGCTGGAATATTGCGTTAAACAACAAACAACAACATATATCGCTATATGTTCTCTAAAAACCTTAGCTGGTTGTAAGAGGTGATCAAATCAATCAGGGGTTAGACTTTGTGACTTGGTTGATTGTGTGTCAACATACATACCCTGATAGTGTGGATCGTTGCTCAAAATATCAATCACTGGATTTTCTGGTCCAGACTTGATTTTTTTACAGGCTGTTGTTATATAGCTGGAATATTGTTAAGTGCAGCATTATACAACAAACACAACCACAGATTGTGTAACAGGTATCATGTATATCGATATATATCCACAAAAGATTGTGTAATAGATATCATCATGTATATCAATATATAGCCTAACAACCACAGCGTGTAACAGTAATATACATTAATATGATATATCCTTCCAATTGCCACAGGTTGTGTGACAGTTGTCAAATATATCTGTATATGCTGTCACATTGTCTGTTTCCACTTGAGGAGGAGGTATGTTCTATTATTCTGAAATGGAGATTGGTTGGTGAAAATGGTTGCTAAGTATGGCCAGTTCTTTGATAACTGATCAGCTGAATGACGCCAATGTTCGTGACGAATGTTCGACAGGGTTTGATTTAGCTATTTAAAACATGCACCAGTTCAAACTCTTATTGAATAGTGCAAGCTAGTATTTGGGTCTACATGCAACAAGTACATGTAAAACAAATTCAAATTTGTGTCTGACTTACCCTTACTTTTCAACCCAACAACTTTTTTTTAAATCACTCAATACCTTTAAATGTACCATGCTACACCACTAACCCCTGTGTTTTGTGTAATTTGTCAGGCTTTCTTGGGCTTGTCATCAAACCGTGGATCATCAAACACATGTTCTTTTACATTTTACAGCAAAACATCATTATTTTATGTAAAATTGTGATACAGTTGCCAGAGATCCGAGATTTTATGTACTGTAAATCGTGAAATTTATGCATCTTCAAAAGAAAGAGACCACTGAACCCTAGCCAAAAATGCGACTCAATATGAATGCGACACCCCCTCCTCTCAAGCACCAGTAGATTTCTATCTAAAGATGTCCTCAGTCAGGTTTAGAATCCTCACCTTAATCCAACCTTGCATTAATCCAATCACACACCAAATAGCACCGCTTATTAGCGCTGAGTAAAGTACTTCTGCAAAAACAATACATGCGCGCTGGCTCGTGTCGGCCTTTGACGCAGTCGCAAAGAACAAGGGGTGGCGTCTGTCTGGACTTGTAGGTGTGATCAGTGATGACATAAGTGAGTAGAACCCCAGCAGTAACAATTCACAGGACGTAATTAGTGTTTGAATGACATTGTTTATATACTTTATATACAAGTGCTGCTCAATAAACAGTGGTGTGGAATACATCAGCGTATGTCTAAGTTGGTATTTTTGCTATCCAAAATGTGTTATTGTTGATATAAATGCGATGTTTAAAAATGCGAGCCAAGACCACTCGCATTTTTTTTCGGATCTAATTCACGCTCGCGTTACTTTCACGATTTACAGTATTTAGACTAGTTTTCGATTGTGATAACATTATGCAACCTGGTTTTGTCCGGTGCAATTAGGTTTTCTTGTCAACATGCACCTGTTGCAAGTAATATCAAGTTCCTTAAATTGAACCCTGTTCTTCATGTTCTCTATGTTCAATTCTATCTTTAAAACTAGTTTGTGTGCTCCTAAACTTTGCAGGGTTCACATTGGTTGACAGTGGCATGCAACCCATTCACTGACATGCTTTCTCTATAGTAACAATAGGCACAGAGTAACAGTGTGGTATTTCATGGACACATGGTTGTAGGCAGAGCATGTAGCAAGGCAGTGTGGCAGCATGGTAGTGTGTCAGCATGGTAGTGTGTCAGCACGGTAGTGGACACACAAAGTAGTGGAGCTGCAGTAGATGCATGCTTCGACAGCACACTCATTGGCAGCTACATTATTGTCATCTTCACCTACACCGACATCATAATCATCATCACTATCATTTCCCTCATCAGTTTCAGTATCATATTTTCTGTATTCAGGTGTAAAACATGAAGATTTTAATGTTTGCTTTTATGCAGTAATGTAGTCCACTTGTCTCACATCCTGGTGTTTGTGCAAAGCTCAGGCAAGAGAGGATTATCCATTACATCCAATGGGAGAAGAAACCTAGATGCTTCTCCATGCATTGTACACCTAGGTGATGGTTGCTTGAAAGGTCTCAAGTCTCCGGTGATCACTGATTCCTGGTCTGTGATCAGTGTCAAGATTCACCAAGTGACAAAACCCAGCAGTGTCTTCATGATTGCATTGATGGTATGAGAGAGGCCTTGTTAATCTTGATATATAAAGTTTCAATATTGGGTTCAATAGATTTCTTCAGCAGTGATTCACTGACCTGTGTAGAGCTACAGTGATGAGAGTTTCACAGTGTCTCCAACTGCTGGGCTGTTATTTGTCTGATGCCTGTCAACATAATCCCTTCTTCAACACTGACTGGGCAACCCCAGTGTTGGTGTTGCTCAATTGGATGAGTATTGCTCCTACGTATGTGTTATTCATATTATGCCTGTCACTGTCTCCCTCCCTGTTTCTTACTTCGTTCTACACTTAGTGGGCATCCCTATGTAGGTGTGGAGGCAGGCAAGTGCTACACCTGTGTTTGTTATGTTTGTAATGTTTATGTAATGCCTGTCTGTATGTTTCAGCCGGACTCTGCCGCGGGCGCCACCACCAACCCGATCCTGTTCAACCCTGCCCAGTTTCAGGGTGCCCAACCCCAGGTTCAACAGCCCGCTGCTGCCACCAACCGACCTCGGTACGGACAGCGGAGACAGTACCCCAAGAAGACATAGAACTCCAATATGGACACACTTAAACACCCCCAAACCATTAAACTTTGTTAAAACATCGGTGCCGAAAACACTTAAACAATACCCAAAGACTGTACCTTTGAATGTAAAGGTATGGAGTGAGTGATTCAGCCAGTTTGCAGAGATCAGTGGGATATGAGTTGTATATTCCTGCAAAATGGACTCCAGACTGCCTGGTTTCAATCAATAGCTAGATTACAACACCATCCTGTTCCTCTATGTGTCATACAAATAACCATAGCTGTATTAGTTCACTCTCGCCAAAAAATGGACAGAAGGGAGATGTGGATGTTCCTGACCACTTCCTGTATCAGGTCACTTCCTGTATCAGGTCACTTCCTGTTTCAGATCAGCTCCTGTTGCAGGTCACTTCCTGTTTCAGATCAACTCCTATTGCAGGTCAATTCCTGTAACAGGACACTTCCTGTGTTAGGTCAATTCCTGTTGCAGGTCACTCCTAGTTTCATGTCACTTCCTGGTGAAGGTATCTTATTGTTCCCCTTCATATTCTATCTCCATGTGCCCTGCCCACCTCATGTTCTCACCATGTGACCCAGACTACAGCAAATATAATGACACTGAGGGTAAGTCTCATACATGTTATACTTCATCCAAAAAGAACTGATCTCGGACTCGTATTAATTAGTCCCATCGTGATAACTGACACCTTCGGACCTGTATCTAGTCGACTGCTGCAGATTCCAAGGACGTCGTTGTTGCAGAAGAATCCACGACAGCTGTCTCAGCAAACAACCACATGTTCCAGAATCTCCTGATAGGCAGCGTCACATACAGTGTGTGAAATAGTTTCCTATGAGCCAAATGGAAAGCTTGTCCAAATTGTTGCCATCTCATCAGAGCAGCCACAAACCCTTAACCATCAACTACTGACTTCACTTATTCATACTGCAGGGTGCCCAGACGCCACCCGCTTATTTGAAGCATACTTAACATTTATACATTAGACAAAATGCTTAGTCAAGACATGCCCCCTGCTTTCCCAAAAGCTTTGTAGGTGTGAGGTGAAGGCTTATGCTGCTGGCAACAGGCAGAGGAAGAAGCTAGCTGGTCTTCAGGAAGCTATTCACACACTGGTTACATGATGTCTGTGTAACAGGGCAATCATCTGTGAGATCACAGTGCTAACTTTCTTGTGTGTAAGGGGGGCACCACATCATAGCATTACCCATGTGCTATGTATATTTTAAAAGTTACCAGCCCTTCTGTTGCAGTTGAATCTTGAAAATGTTCTGCAGACATGTTTGTGCCCTTGTTGTCATGGTGATCTCTGCTGATATTGTCTGGGGATATGTAGAGAACTAGTTTCACTGTGGAGGAATGACTCTGAGGATACTCTGTGTGAAAGTATGAAAGTGATATGACCCTCTGTGTTGTCTTGAGTGTAGCTGTGGGCCACTTGTTCACCCCATGATGACTAAATATAGGAATTTTCACCAAATTAACAGAAACATTTCAGGGGCATTAATGTTGAAAATTGTTCTGCCATTGTTTTTGTTTGGTTTTAGAATCTGTATTTATCTTGTGGGGAAATGCTTTTTGGGTCTTTGTGCTGTGTAATTACTGTTTCAAGAAAGCAAAGAATAGTATTTATTTGTCTTTAGAAGGTGATGTATCTGATGGAAAACAGGAATTAGTGTGACCAAGATTTAGATTTGAAATGGATCGTGAAGATGAGTCATTTTTGCTTCAATATTCAGCTATGACAGCTGCAATTCTTGATAACATTTGGAAGCAAGGTTAAGAAGCAAAGACGTTTACATTTTCGTAGACATTAACTTCTTACATAGTGTGTGCTGACTGTATTCAGATAAGTAAAAGGGTCTAATTAGATGTCGATGTGCCTTCGGGATAAGTCAGACCGAGTTGAATGTATTTTGAGAATTTCTATTCCAGTTTGGCTGCATTTAAACTAGAGATCTACATGTTTTGCATGGTAACCAGTGGACAATCGTATGAATTTATTAATGTCTGTGCATTAGATGATTCACTGAATTATTGTTTAAAGGGAATACTAAGGACACCTATTTTGTATTGATTTATAACTGTGTGTCCTTGCTCGCGGCTTGACTGGAGCTATGTGGAAGACGAGGATGACTGGAGAATGATGAGTTTGATGTTTTTGTGCCATTGGATAGTAGTTAGACCTCACCTTTCTATGTGTACATACCTCACGACAGTGTTGGTGAAAGGTGTTAAATATCCCTGTAGTGATATATTATGTATGATTGTACATGGTATGTTATGTATATCGTGTGATTGTAAATGGTTAAGTGTGTATATTGAAACAATTGTACAGTGTTGTGAGAAGTATTCAGATCCTATTTTCATGTATTTAAAACGCGACACGTGATGAGAATGCTTAGTATGTGTTTCAATCCTGACTCTGATGTGGCGTCAAAAGCCAGAACAATACACAGGAAGATGCATTCAAATACTTGTTATATGTTTTTTGAAAGAATAAATGCATTAAAGACTGTTGGAGTTGCAGACCACATCCTTGATAATCTAGTGAGTAATATCTCCATTCTATTTGGATAAGTACCCTGGTGCCATTCGCCACCATACCTTTGTTTTGAGTCCAGATTGGAAATGTGCCACTCTAATAATAGCCGCCCAATCAGATTACACTCATGAGCGAGAGAAAACGTGTGTTAAGTTACCGATAAGACAGGGTAGATTGTGACGTCAGTTTCAAAACCATGAGGGGGCAGGGTGGCACAGTCGTCTAAGGCGCCGCGATTCACTGTGCAGAGTTGCGTCCCTTGGGCAAGCCAGAAACCTATGATTGTGGGTTCAAATCCCGGTTCGCCACGATTATGTTTGTAGGTTTGTCAGCACCATACCAGTGCTCGTGGGTTTCACCGAATGGGTAAACGTGTGAGACCCGCATCAATTCGGGCTTTCCTCCCATATTAAGCTGACACGCCGTGATATAACTGGAATACTGTTGAAAGCCGCGTTAAACCCAACTCACTCACTCAAAACCATGAACCGTTATATGGTCTCTACTTAAACGAGACTTTAGCTGATGGTTCCAATGTTTGTGTCCTGATTGAATGGATATGTGATTCACTGGATAATCAATGATGCATACAGGAAAAACAACAGTGAGCAATACACATGAGATGATGTAAGCATTGGATGTTAATAGAAGACGGCGCATCTAGACCGAGTGGTGACAGGAAGAGATGGACGAGAGATGAGGATCGGTGTGTGTCTGTGACATGTTCTGCTGTCCTAGACCAACGTCAGAACGCGACTCGCAATGTTCATGATGTGATCAAAACTTCACGTTGTTGGGCCAGTACACATGCACCTGGATTGATCACGTGTGCACATACACGTGATCATGACTTGAGTCGAAATGTTCCCGTACTACTGAAAGAAGTTAGGGCCATCCTATTCTTTCATATTAATTGCATGAAAGATTAACTGTAGTAATATTGAAGAATCTGTTGGTCCATAACATTTTTTTAGTAGTATATTTCAAGAACTGTTTAAATCGTAATGTCGTTGGTTACGTTTTCACAATATGTCAGTCAATGATTCCTGATATCGACCCATGGTGACTGATTGAGTAAATGCATGCTATGCTAGACTAGCGCCCGAATGAGTAAGGAGTGCGTGGAGAGTGAGTGTACATAATAGGGTGAGGAAGATACATCCGTGGTGTATATATTGTATATTGACTGCTGGATCGAGTAGTAGATTTTGTATGTTGACTCCTGGATCGAGCAGTGGAGTATGTGATAATGCATCTATATTTATTAGTGTAGGAGGACTTGTTGAAATATGTATCACGCCTATTTATTCCATTTGTATATCTTTGTCCGATTCTACCATTTGTTACTTTATTCTTGGTTTCTGTGTGGGTAGTAGCCGTGGACACATCTGTGAGGAGTTTGTTGTAGCACAGATTTAACTGATTCTTGGTGCAATTGTGTTTTCGAAAATGTTATCAATCTTATCTCATTAAATGAACTATCCAACCAATACATACTCAACCACTTTTCATTATGATGGAATGACTCTTGTCTTTATTTGGGGATGTGGGGTAGCAGAGCGGTTTATGTGTTTGCCCGTCACGCTGAAGTAATGGGTTTGATTCCCACACACGCTTGTAGTCTTCACCCCCTTGATTTCTGACACCAATGTCAAAAGAAGCAAACACAGCACAGCACGATGCAACACAAGGTGCGTTGCGATCATGTCCTGGAAGACGGGATTCCGGGGCAGAATCAATCCCCGGTAACCCAGCGCTACGGTGATTGGGAGTTGCAATGTGTGCTCACACTATTAACCACTGGTCAAGTTTAGACCAGTGTCAACCAATAAAATGATTCGAAGGATCACCGACAGAGTACGACAGAAAACACAAAAAGGTGATATGTTAAAACAATGTAAACTACAATTCCACTACACCTGGCCGCACTCAGCAATATTCGAGCTATATGTTGGTGGAATGTAAATAATCGAGTCTGGACCAGACAAGCAAGTGATTGACATCATTAACATCGATCCACGCAATTTGAATACGATGACATGCATCAACCAAGTCCGCGAGCCGGACCTCTTACGATGATGAAGGCAACTTACTAGTGCATAGGTTCGCAAAAATAACTGATGGTACAAAGAAAAGTGACTACTGACCACTTGGTGAAAGCTGTCTTGAAATGTATATTATATAATCTAGTATTGATTGTGAACAGAAAGACATGGACAAGATGGTCACACTTACAAATCGTATCTGGGTTTCATTATTCATGTGCATATAATAAAAGAAACACTGAATACTGTATTCGTAACATGTGACTATAATTGGTTTCAGTTGATATGTTTTGACACAAATGCCCCCCCCCCCCCCCCCCCCCATAGAAACGTCCGAAAACGTCCCCCAAAAACAGAATAAGTTAGCTTCTTTAACAGATACTCACTACCTGCCGCCACACTTTCAAGTAACTTCGGAACATTCTAATATATTCCTGAACAGGAACAAATAATCATTCCAGCGGAAGGGGGGCGGAAGTCTTACCACAAGTACCATATACTGACGTCTTTTGGTAGGACACGGCCGGGGATCGAAACTGGGAGCTTTCGCTCTCCGGGCGGACGCTTTCCTCAAGGCGGCCCCTACTATGCGAGAGCCTGGCGCCGAAACACATCACCTTGACATGCACGTGCAACATTGTTAGACAAAAAACCCGTTAGGTTTTCATGTGCTTGCCATCACAATCTCACAGCAAATGAACAGCGAAAACAACTGACGGAAGACCACCGCAACAACGCCATCGGCCGACTGCAAACAGGAGAATCATCTTCAGCTGTTGCCAGGCATTTCCAAATAGCACCAAGTACCGTTACAAGACTGGAACAGTTACAAGGCACACGGGACAACACGTGGCCTTCCCAGACCCTGTAGACCACGTGTCGCTACTAGAGCACAGGACTAGTTCATACGGCGTCGTCACTTACGTGGAAGAACAACCACGGCCACCTCTACAACTACGGCAATACAAGGATTGCGTAGGATATCAGCCGAGACAGTGAGGAACCGTTTACGCGTTGAAGGTACTTGCTCTTGACGACCTGTTCGAGGTGTCAGTTTGACGGACCTGCATCGTCGGCTGCGGCGTCAATGGTGTCAGGGTCATAGCGTATTTGGCGATGGAGACAAGTTTGGTTTACGAGTCGTGCTTAGCCGTGCGGATGGTAGACGTCTTCTTTACAAGCGTCGCGGGGAACGTTATGCAGAAAACTGCATACAGGAAGTGGACAGATTTGGTTGTGGTAGTGTCATGATGTGGGCAGCCATCTCCTACACTGGTAGAACAGATTTGGTGCAAGTTCTGAGGAATAAACGGCACAACGTGACACGGATAAGATTCTTCGGACACGCGTCCTTCCCATTAAACAACAAGCAAACGTCATTATTCAAAAAGACAACGCCCGACTTTACAAAACAAGATTGACAACAGACTTTTTCTGGAATCACAACATCCAGGTTCTACCATGGCCTTCCAATCGAATCGAACATTTATGAGATGCACTGGATCTACGACTGCGAGCACGACAGCAACAACTACAGAACGTCCGACAGTTGGCACAAGCACTGCAGGCAGAATTTGTGAACATTCCCCAGGCCACAATTCCGGATTTGACTGCTTGCTTGGGACAACGATTCCAGTCAGGTTTGTACTCCAATGGTGTCCATACAAGATACAATAAACTACGGTTATAACGAACTCGAAAGGACCACTAATCTTAGTCCGTTATAACTGTAGTTCGGAATAAGCATATAGACAGCATATATACAGCAAATGGCAGACTACGGGACAAAACACACATCTAAAATCACTTTGGCGTTTCTTTTTTTGCAGAGTATATAATACTTTACAAACGGCGAGTGCATGTGTGACCTTCAAGAGAACTGTTGAAATTAGTTGAATAAACACAATTCCACTAAACTATGAGAACCCTTAAATCTTAATGAAAATTGAATAGAAAGGAGGACGCCGAAATGAAGTTGTTCCTGCAAAAGAACGGGAAGGCAAGCAGGATTTGATGAGCGCTTCTCTGTACACCAGGTGATTGAGGTCTGCATTGCAAGATTCAAGCATCCAGTTTGTTTTGTTTGTTTTGTTGTTGTTTAACTCCGCACTCAGCAATATCCCAGCTATATGACGGCGGTCTGTAAATAAACGAGTCTGGACCAGACAATCCAGTGATTGAGTAATTGACATCATGCACATCGATCCACGCAATTGGGATACGATGACATGCATCAACCAAGGCAGCGAGCCTGACCACCCGATCCCGTTAGTCGCCTTTTACGCCAAGCATAGTCGCCTTTTACGGCAAGCATGGGTTGCTTAGGATCTATTCTACCCCAGATCTTCAGGGTCGTATCAGGTTTGTACTGATACCTTTTTGATTTATTTCAAATTTCATTATCCTGTACATGTCCTTACATTTTAAGTTCCGGTAAATGACTCGACCTAACGCTCCAGCAGTATTTCTATCTTACAAGTTCGAGGAAGGCCGAATTGACAAAACGCTTGAGCTGTAACTGATGAAATGATCGCGCACTGACCAAGGGTTCGACAACAAGAATCGATCTGATCGTGAACACTGGATTGTCCGAACACCATCTACAGCCATCCACATTAAGCTGTCACATCGTCAGTGGAACTGACTATGGGGGGAGATCAACCAGAATTCACTCCCTAAATCGATACTGGACGAGGAACGAGAAAGAAGGGATAGTGTCATGTGAAGTGTGTGCATCAGTCTGGTGCAGTCAGAGGGATAGTGTCATCTGAAGTGTGTACATCAGTCTGGTGCAGTCAGGGGGTGAGTGTCATGTGAAGTGTGTACATCAGTCTGGTGCAGTCAGGGGGAGAGTGTCATGTGAAGTGTGTACATCAGTCTGGTGCAGTCAGAGGGAGAGTATCATGTGAAGTGTGTACATCAGTCT